GACATCATTCCGAATTCTCTGAATGTTGAAAGTTTTTGTACGAAGGTTATAGTTAATTTCCCGAATTGATATTTTCAGCACAGGCTACCCACCAAGGTATATCATTATTGCTATATCATTAAGTCGAATTGTTTTAGTCATTGGTTTCAATAATAATGGTATTAATACAATTTCTTTTTCCGTCTACATGACTTTTATGTGATTTTCATCAAAAATAGCAACAAACAAGGTTTCACCGAGTAGTTGCTGCAAATCCTGAAGAGGTACGTAGCTGTGGGCACCGATCCTAATATTGACTAACATACCCTAAGCTATAACCATGCAAAGTGTGGTGCTTTTGTCCGCTCTGTATAGATCTCGCCAAAATTTTACACTAAGCCACCGGACTAGTCAAGGGAAATCGCACTTAAACGTTTTTTCGTTTAATTTAGTAACACGACTAAACTAAGGTTGCGTTCTAAATTGAGGTTTTGCGATCCAAAATTTGCATTCTCAACGATCCTTCTCTGCACTTGGATCGTTCAGAATGCCTATCTCGATCTTGTTTGTGATTTAATGAAACCGCTTTCTTCCATTGCCTTACGAGGAGTCGCTTCCTAAGAGGAAAGAAATCAAAAAGCGATTAGAGAAAATTGCAGAAGATCAGTATAGCGGCTCACCAGCTACTGTATGGATCAGTTTATTCACAGATTTTTCGGACTAGCACGAAAATTCAAACAATCTGGATTGACTAAATCCGAAAAAAGGTTGGCGAAAAGGACCACAACCTAAAACAGCATAAAGGATCGATCCTTGATTAATAGAGGCCGGATGGACTTGTGCAGATAGGGAAAGACCTTTTTGGCGGAAAATCTTCTGCATTGCTGGACATGTCTCTGTAGGTAAACATGTCATTATGAAAATTTTCCTCAGCCTTTCGATCTGTCTTATCTTCAGAAGAGTAACTCAACAGAACTTGAAGTTTCTGTTTACTGTAACACATCCGCCCCTTCCTTGATAAGTTTACTGGTCGCAGGTAACAAATAAGTAAAAATTTTGTCTATAATTACAGTAATTAAAAAAAGAAGTTTTACGCCACCGTTCCCAAGGCTAAAGTACTCTACGACTATTACGATGCTGACAAGAATGAGCACTCTTTGCTTGCTAACGAGATCAGTGTCACAGCTTAGTTTTAACCGTAAGCAACTTAATTACGTCTAATCGCCAGGCCAGGATATCGGACCGTCTATGAAACGCAACATGCAAAAGAAATCAAAATTGTGATTTCTTTCATGACAACCGCCTAACCCTTCTAGCAGCGATTTCGATGGGCTTTGTAACGTCGGGATCCCGGCTTGCTGGGTTGAAAATATTCCGTGTACTAAGCGCTAGTGAGCGGCGGGCAGCCATGCAGCATGAAAAGTGCTAAATGTCGTTTTCGAGATTTGAGAGCGCTGGAAATTGGCTTTTACTTGGCTTTGCCTTTGGCTGGTTTAAGCCTTTTGCAATACGGGGCTGTTGATCGAGTTACATAGTATACCGCTTGGCCTTTCGTCCCGACACGAACAGCTATCCGGGTATAGCATGAACAGCAACAGCACAGAACTAGAACAAGCCGTTCACACACATGACATCGTGCCGGAGCGGTTGGCCGAGAGGTTTTGGTGAACTGAATCCCAGTCTTCGCTCCTAGTCCCACTCATTCACTTCCGAGACGACCTGAAAAGGTGTTCACACTGCGCTAGGGTAAGGCACAGAACCTATCCGATATGTGACGCTCCACTTTAAAAATCGGCGCGGCGCAGCTTCGCTCCGTTACAGAAACCGCGCCGAAATCACCGTGAACAGAAGCCCTATCCGCTATGATTTTCGCGCCGCCGCAAAAGGTATTCGGTATAGTGTGAAAATAGCTTAGCCTAAGCGATGCGCGCTTTACCTCCTATACTTCTCATTAAGCAAGGAAAGTGGGAATCAAAACATTACTATAATCTCATAAAAATGGCCGTAATGTTCCTTTGAAAATTTTAAGGCCTGGCATTATAAATTAAAGTTTTACTTTGAAATTTCAAGGTTTATTTACTTTATCAAAATTAGTTAGATCAGCACTCAGAATCGTTCAGTTTTGATTTATAGTCAAGAACCTATTGGTTTCACAGAAAATTTTATAGACCGATTTTTCTATTGATTTATTGAGATAGCGACATGCAGACTGGGTTCAATCCGTAAAATCCCCTCAAAATCGTCTTGATGTGGACTGATATTTACACGGAATTTATAATAAATAAATTCTTTTGCTTATCTGAACAATTAATAGAGATCAAAACACAGCCTATCGAGAGCTACATCTTATTCAATTAACTAAATAATGTTAAGCCATATGCATGCACGATGACGTTAATTTTCTACAACTACTCTTACAATACCTTAAGATTTTGCTTTCTTGTGCAAATTACTGTCTATATTATCTTAACCTCGTTGGGATTAACAAATTTAAATACGAAAGGAAAACGAAACTGGATTCTGGAAGTAGCCGTAAAATGGTTTGTTATCTATAGTATCTAAACATCGCAATCAATTAACAAAGGTAACAATCGTGAGAAAGACAATAAACGAACCTATATCATATCTATTAATGTTAATTGAATGGACTTGAGGTGTCAAAAATTGAAATTGCTCAGCTTAACTGCATGGTAAACATATTTAACAGCCACTTTTCGTAAAATTACGTAATATAGTTTTAGGGGCTGGACTGAAGCGGGACGACTTAAAAAACTGTAAAAGCGAATAAGTATAAAATAAGGAATGATAAAAAATAGTAACGGTAAAAGGTCCGGATAGGACTGATATCGAATTTTTCAGTGGTTATTCCGGAAAAAAAAGACTTAACATTACAATATAGAGAACATTAACGCACAACAAGAGAGAAGAGCTCATTCTCTCTCGCCCACCAGCTTATCGCTCCAAGATAATAGTCTTCGTCGTTAATGGCGAAAGAAATGATTTTCATATTTAATGAATCTTCATTCTCTAGTGACATAATAAATTTAGGGATTTAGCAGATGGATCACTTTTGAATCTCACTCCTGGAGAACACGCGTTAAATTTAATCGCAAGCTTAGATGGGCTGAGTTCTTTTCCACTGACGTGAAACAAAGAACTGGTTCTGCCAAAGTCTTCTTTGATCCTTACCCTGCTGGCGAATACAGCAAAGCGGTGAAGAAGGTAATTTGTTCTACTCTATTGCCATTTAAAAAGGTTAGAAATGGTATAACTGTCCCAAATATGTTCAAAACAGTTGCTTGCAGATGGGAAAAACCGGGCCGATCAAGATTTTTTTGGTTTTCCATTGCAATCAAACACAAACTCTAAAACAGTTTTCCTCCTGAATCTAGTTGAAATCCATAACGCTAAAGGACTTCTTTTGCCGTCTACACATATGTCCATTATTATTTGCAAAAAGATTTTTTTCTACCATCTTGCAAAAAATTCTCCTTCACACCTGCTTTTACGGAACCCGGTTTCCGTCTGTCCTCAGAATGCGCTTCTTTTCATGTTTGAACTCGGAGTTTCAAGTTACCTCAGTTAACCTTCAGACATTTACGTTTTCTGTTTATTTAAACCTTTTGCGGGGAAGTTTTCTAGATCACTGAGTTACGTACAGGTTTAGTCAGCATAGAATAACAAGTAATCAACGGCAAAACATTTGATTAGCTGATTAATGTAAATTGATGGCGGTCGCTTACGAGAGCTTTTAGAAAATAACTTCGTTGTCAATAATCTAGTATCAAATGCATTTAGCTGAAGAAATAAGGTTAAATAGTTCCTTAATTTTTTACTTAGTGCATTCAAAGTTTAACGAACCATTATCGCTAATGTTGGTTGTTCTCCTAGCCTGCCGCGTAGGCGTTTTAAGGCTACTTAAGGTAAGGGCGCGCTTGTCCTTAAGCTCTTTTACGGGGAACACTCCTTAAGAGGGTTCTAACAATTGCCGAATTCATTGCCCCTCGGCACCACAAACTGAATTCGAGGTGGTTATGCAATACAGCAAAATATTAAACAACTAAGCAACATAAAAATCCCATTTGCCAGCAAATATTTCCTCTACGTCATATAAAGTGCCCAGGCCTCACAGGGTCATTCACAAATAGTTTTGATACTCGCGAAGGCTCTTAGCTCTTTATGATTGAAAACAAAGACAGTACCAAGGCCGCCAACAAAACAAAGAAATTACAAAACCTAGATCGTAAAATGTCTAAAATTGATCGTGATGTCTACAGCTCCAGTTTTAAGGTGATATGTGACTTCCAATACCTATAATTCCCGCTAGAAGTCCTTCCACTTGGAAATTTGCGACATCTCACGACTTTTAACCCATTTCTCACTACTTTTCCCAGCTCTTGGTTCAGAATCTCACGTTGTTTACCTTTTGGGGGTTGGTTAGTCTGGGATTAACAAATATAACATTTAAATACGAAAGGAAAACGAAATGGATTCTGGAAGTTGTCCTTAAATGATGTCTCCACCGGGGCAAAAGCCATATTGTTCCCTCGTTTTGGTTTGTTATCTATAGTATCTAAACATCGCAATCAATTAACACAGTTTACAATCGTGAGAAAGACAATAAATGAACCTATCATGTCTAATAATGTTAATTGAATGGACTGGAGGTGTCAAAAGTTGAAATTGGTCAGCTTAACTTGTAAATATATTTGTTGTTTTAGGGGCTGGAGTGAAGCGGGACGACAGAAAAAAGTATATATAAAAGCGAAAAAGTATAAAATGAGGAAATGATAATGATAACGGTAAAAGGTCCGGATGGGACTGATATCGAATTTTTCTGTGATTCTTCCGGAAAAACAAGACTTAACATTACAATATAGAGAACATTAACGCACAACAAGAAAGAATAGCTCATTCAGTCTCTCCCACCAACTTATCGTTCCAAAATAATAGTCAGTCTTCGTCGTTAATGGCGGAAGGAGCGATTTTCATATTTAATGAATCTTCATTCTCTAGTGACATTATAAATGTAAGGATTTAGCAGATGGATCACTTCTCAATCTCACTCCTGGAGAACAGGCGTCAAATTTGATCGCAAGCTTAGATGGGCTGAGTTCTTTTCCACTGACGTGAAACAAAGAACTGGTTCTGCCAAAGTCTTCCTTGATCCTGACCCTGCTGGCGAATACAGCAAAGCGGTGAAGAAGGTAATTTGTTCTTCTCTATTGCCATTTCAAAAGGTTAGACATGGTATAACTGTCTTAAAATATGTTTAAAACAGTTGCTTGCGGGTGGGAAAAACCGGGCCGAACAAGATTTTTTTGGTTTTCCAATCAAACACAAAATCCAAAAACGGTTTTCTTTCTAAATCTAGTTGAAATTCATATTGCTGAAGGATTTCTTTTCCCGTGTACACATATCCATTATTATTTGCAAAAAGATATTTTTCTACCATCTTGCTAAAATTCTCCTTCACACCTGCTTTTACGGAACTCGGTTTCTGTCTGTACTCAGAATGCGCTTCTTTTAACCCGGAGTTTCAAGTTACCTCAATTAACCTTCAGATATTTATATTTTCTGTTTATTTAAACCTTTTGCGGGAACGTTTTAATTCTAGATCACTGAGTTACGTACAGGTTTAGTCAGCATAGAATAATAAGTAATTAACGGCAAAAACATTTGATTAGCTGATTAATATTGATGGCGGTCGCTTACGAGAGCTTTTAGAATAATGTCACTAATCAAGTACCAAATACATTTAGCTGCAAAAAATAAGGTTAAATAGTTCGATAGCTCAACTCTTCCGCGGTTCTTATCAGCTATATGCGGCTGTATTTTGCATATTCCAAACTCTGCCGAGGGAAATTGTTTAACAGAAACAGAAACCACACACTATGTCTGACAAATAGCAGTGCTGTCTCTTTGAAAAAAAAGTCTCTCCTCTTGATTTTCAGCAGTATAACCATTTCAAGTATTAGAATATATGTTTATGCGCTCGTATGCTAGTTCTCGAGTGAAAAAGAAAGAGCTTTTATAGAAAAAGTGAACTCCAGATGTTTTCGAAAATATCAGCCAGAAAAAAAGGCTCCCGAAAATTCTAGGTGACCTTTTTAGGGTAAAAATCTGTTAAAAATGGGCAATTTTACCATTTTTAGATGTTTGAAAATCCTAGGAGAGGCAGGCAAGCAAGAAATTTTACCAGACAAAATGTTCCGAAAATTCTAGATCTCAAATCGTCTTCCGAACAGATATTTTCCGAAAATTGACGTTGGGTGCCCTTGATTTTTTTCTTTAACTGATTTATAGCCAGTTTTCTTAGACGTGATTTCTGGAAATTTAAAGATGACTTCTTTTCTCTAATCTGAACCGGCTGATCGTACAGTTCGATAGCGATAAATTTCCTGTAGCTGTGTAATGGAGGTAACTGGATTTTTTTTCTTTATTTAGCTCTGTCCGGAAACTAAATTAAAGTTGGACGCGTTTGTGCGTCCTGCAAGCGATTAAAAACAATCAGTTTTTGTTCCGGAATTGTCATGTGAAAAATAGAGTGAAAAGTTATTTCGGGTCAGACTGATTTTTGGAGGGGGCTACACGTAGGCTGTTAAGTACCGTAACGCTTTTTACACCTTGTTTTTTTGTTTGTTTTTCCCCGTTTATTTTTTACTTCATGTACGTTCGTTAAAGGCTTCTTTTAACGAAAGCGCAGATATCGTGGCCACCACCTTGAAGGCAAAGTCAACCTGTCCCTTTCTTGGATATCATTTTTGACTCGCACCAACTCTCTGTAATGTCAGTGTCAACGTCCAAAATGGCGGAGGCATTAGCCCCTAAAATATCATCGTTCGCCTTGCAAAATACACCTACTGCTTTGCAGGCTAATTTCGTATAACAAATTTGCAATAGAGATAATTTTATATTAAATCAATAAAAATACTGCAATAAAACACTAATGAAACAAACTCCCCAACGAGTCACTGCAGTTCATAGGGTACATTTTGTACTCCACTTCTGCAGGCTCTACCCTGTGGTCCAACCTCTTAACCTTTCATATACCATTATTAATATTTTGACAGAAAAGACGGTACGCATTACAAAAATGGTACTATTTTTTAAGGCTGGGGAAAAGGTAACTTTTCCAGGCCGATCCTACCCATATAAACCAGATTAGAGGGTACTTTCCCCATCCCGCTCAGGTTGTCTGTCCATCATTGCATGTGTATACTTTGGCGTGACTGCAGGCCTGTTATTAGGGACCTTACGAAACTGCGAAGGCGTCGACGGGAGGCCTTAGTCACGTTTACGCTTTTCTGTAAGTTTCTTTGCTGTTCTCCGTCAACTGCGAAGTGAAATGACCAAAGTTTTAGTTTTCAAGAGAACGTAAACAGCAAGACGGTAGCTCCAACGCGGTCCCCTCTTTTAGATCTAACCAGGAGCCTATTAGGCTCTTGATTCTAACTCAATTGCGTAACGGTTAAATTGGTGAGCAAAATACAAGTTCAAAAAGATGTCAAGTCAGTTACTCGGTGGCGTTTTGAATGATCTATCTATCTATCTATCTATCTATCTATCTATCTATCTATCTATCTATCTATCTATCTATCTATCTATCTATCTATCTATCTATCTATCTATCTATCTATCTATCTATCTATCTATCAATGTTTTTAATTATCTGCTCTGGCGAAGACATTTAATGCACAAACTTCGAATTTGAGGCAACGAATCCACTTCCTCATTATTGACTTATTCTACATTTTATAGAATTAACATTGCATTTTTGATGGTTTTCCATGCACTAGTTTTGGGTTCAACTACGGCGTTAATTTACTGCTTTGCTTTTATGTTTTGGTCCGGTTAGGACGAGTGCGTCAGCAATTACATCATTTGTGTTTTTCCATGTGCTAATAATCTAATATTGAGGGAATATAGTTTGCAAACAGTCCAAGAGTGAAACAAATCTTACATCGAGTTAATAGTCTTTCGTGTACACCCAAAAAATAGCAATCATCTTCGATCACATTCAAGAGCCATAATGGCTCTTGATCACAATAGATCTAGATTAGGCCTGGAAAACAAATTCTTCCCAAATAAAATAACCCAGTCACCTACCTACACCACCTTTATTTTATAAGGTTAATTGGACAGCACCGAAATTTAATTTTATGCTAAAAAGGCCGGTTATAATGGGAAGACACGATAGTCCTCGGTGGCAGCCAATTTACACGTTGTAATTTATAGGTTGCCTTCAGCTTTATCTAAAAGGGAGGCCAAAATCAAAAATCGGGCAGAATTTTTTGCGCGTTTGATAAGTTCAGCAAGTTTACTTTCGAAATCTTGCCAACAAATCTGGTGGTGTGTAAAGCAGCCTTTTGTACTTTTCAGTTATACATCACATCTGAGGTAAAGAGAGTACTATGAGGCACTTTTTTTTTTTTTCAGTTTCTCGTCAAATACAATCAGCGCTCACTTGTTAACACCCACTCCCGAATATCAGTGCTATTTTTTTGAAGAGAGTTGTCATTGTTACCGGAGGTACAATTTGTATCAGCGAAATCATGTCATGATACGAAATTTTCTTTTTAGTAAAAAAACTAGTGGTCTATTATCAATGCTGCGTTCTGATTGGTTGAGCCACTACTAGGCTATATGTTATAGCCCACTAGTAGCGAAAAGCGCGGGCTTTTTGGCGGCAAAAAAAGGATTAAAGTCTAGCTTTAACTAGCTAAATGTTTTTATTCTCGATATTTTTGAACAACTAGTTGGATTTTACTAAAACAATTATTCCTGTCGCCCTCATGGCCTCTGAGTCAATAGCTCATTCGGCCTTCGGCCTCATGGGCTATTGACTCAGAGCCCATTCGGGCTCGAGGAATAATTGTTAAATAACCTGTTATGTGATCATTGACAATAAAACTGAAGTCTTCACTCTTGGCTATGGGCGCATGGGTCGCGATAGTTCGTTCGCCAAGATGTCGGAACATCTCTCGAACTTCGAAAGTGAACTTAGCATTCAACCAAACCTTTTTGACGATTTTTAGGATTTGCGACACTGGGATCCCTGCTTGGGCAAAAAAGGTAATATTTAACCGTGTTGACCGGTTTTTACGGGCAGCGATCAAATTAAAACTGGTCATCTTGGCAAAAAGGAATGTAACAGTAACTTTTCTTTCTTTCCTTTTTCAAAAACAATTGCAACACGACAACAAAAACACAATGCTGTAGTTTAAGGGGCTAAAAGCAGCAAGCAGTGTAAAAGCGAAGTAAGTGTTAAAACAGAAGAGATAATTAATAATCAAGGGCAAAAGGTCCAGATATGAAAATCGAATGACGTACACTCTTATCCCCCTTCTTTTAGTTCCGGAAAATGGTGGTCGTTAACGGCGGAAGGGGCGATTTTCATATTCAATGAGTCATTACTTCTGTGAACATATTATAAATTTAGCGAGTAAGCACTATAACAGGCGTCGAATTCAATTGCAGGTTAAGGCAAGCTCCATTCCACTGACGTGAAGTAGCGAACTGTAACTCCAAACCATGGCAGAAGACCAGTCATGTTTTATTCCTGGAATCTCTGTGTCGTTCCAGAGAAGTTTCCTCTATTACGTCAACTGGTTTTCTCCTCTCACAATGTTATTTAGCATTTGGTGTTTTGTATCCAATGCGATAATCATAATTGGTTTGTTGAGGAGGGGCATTAGGTCTCTTCCTTCAGGATTGCTGATGGTGTGTAGCTTGGCCTTCAGTGATCTTCTGTGGGGGGCGACAGTTGCACCGATAAACGCTGGTTTCAGGATCAAGAATTTAATGAACAGAAATGTCTGCGAAGTTAGCTGGCAAATGCACGAAATGGTCGAAATGAATTTGGAAATACCTCTCACGATGTGCTTTCTTGGAACTATTGCAAACCTCGCGATCATGAGCATTGATCGATATCTTGCTGTCCGAACTTATTATCGATATAAAGTTTTGGTAACAAAACGCCGCGTCGTTGTTGTTTGCTGCCTCGTGTGGGTTACATCAGTAACCATTGGATGTCTAAACCAGTTTAAAATTCTTAGCTACACAATCTTCCATTTGATAATGTCAAGCGTCGTCATCCTTTCAGCTTTGGTCATCATCATTTTCCAGATCATAACCCTTCGTTCATTCCGTCGTCATAACAACGCTGTGGCTCAGATGATGGAGGGTGGAGGTAATCAGGCAAATTCTGTCAGCGATCAAAACGCTGCTGCTGAACGCGAACTAACGAAAACAACAACATACGTGGTAGGCATTTTGGGACTGTTTTTCATACCTATGGCTTGTTCTATAGTAACAGGTATTATTGTGCAAAAACAAGTTTCAAGGTTTTTACACCCTTTCATAATTCCTCTGTTTACCATAAATTCGGGAATTAATCCATTGTTGTATTACAGGGGAAATAAGAGAGTCAGACAAGCAGTATTCAACCTTATAAAATGCCAATAAGGCTTTAGATCAGCCAATTTTATATTTCCAGAGGCAAAATAGTCACCGCTAAGAGATCTAAAATAGGAGACAAAAATAGTTGAGACACTTTGCCCGACCATTTGACTTTTGAGGGGGGTATGGGTGATTTCAGAAAAAAAAATATCTTGCAGACTGATTTCGATGGAGAAAAATATCTTGCAAGAAAATACCTGACGCAAAAAATGTCCTGCACTGAAAAAAAAAATGTCTCTCATGTTGCACCGTTATATGTCGTTATATGTTTGGGGAAAACTCAAAACCAAATCATCCATACTCGCCCCTCCTCCCCCGCCACCCTCCTCAAACGTCAATAGGACCTTTCTACAACGAAACTCATTTGTTTGTTTAACTGCTCCGAATGCTTACCAACAAGGTCAATAACATCTATAATTTTTAAGGTAAGACACAGTCTCTGATCCCATACATTATGGTACAATTAACTGCTAGCGACTTGGTCATTGATTTTATGAAGATGTTTTAAGGCTAATCTTAAATCATATATGTGTATTTCATAAGTTCATTTGTTTTTTGTATTTGAATTGTTTATTCCTCTCAGAATTTTTTTTAGTTCGTAATTTTCGGGAAGTTAATTTATATAGGGTCTACCTCTTTAACTTCCTTTTCACGGTGTTATTTCTGTATTTTTATTTTAATGATACCTTGAATAAAATATGTTTGTATATATGAACTCTACTTTGTATTCGTATTTTATCAACAAAGAATTAATTTAATCTATATTATTTTGTTTTAATCTTCGGGAAAAATTGTCATCAAGAATTGATATAAATTGAAGATTGTTTCCGCTGTTGTTGTTGTTGTTTTTTTTTATGTTTTCCCCTTTTTCTTCCGTCCTTTAATAGCTGGTTACAATACTGTAAAATTGATATTCATGCAAATAAAGGTACGGTAACACGGGCAAAAAAACGTACAACGTGTTTTGCAACATTGCTGCAAAACGAGTTGAATAGCGATGCTGCGCGTTTTACCACCGACAATTTTTTTTGCCATTATTGAGAACTTATAAGAATGTCAACCAGAAGAGATACTTTCATCGGATCATTTTCTGCTTTCGTGATAAGGGACCTTTGGAAACTTTACTATGGCAACGGAAAAGTAATAGGTTTAATCAGCAAAACAACAACTCCATTATACACGTGCATGACGCTCTTCTGTAATTTCTTTGCCGTCTTGTACACAACTACGGCGAGAAACTTTACTGTGTCTATCTTAGCCTGTGCACAGTCACTTCCTCAGCTCCAGCTTAATCTCCAAACCTCGCTTGAGTTCCACAAACCAGCCAGCAAAACTTACAGACCTTAAAATAGTATTTCTTCTCGCCTTGAACGTGTTGACCTAGCCTGTTTCAGGGTCTTCTAGGCTCTCAGACCGTAAGAATGGCGCGTAAATGAAAGGTACCCGAAAATATGAGCGCATGAGCCGCTGTTACAGTGATATGGGCATCCCCATTCCCAAAACCCTGGTGATATGGGTATCCTCTTCTCATATTGTCTTAGCGATTTGAGTTAGGGTTAGGCTTAGGGTTACAGAGGATGCCCATATCACTAGGGTTTTGGGAATGGGGATGACACTGTCCTTCCTCTCCCCAGTCTCCTCCCGTTTTATTTTTTGACCATTTCATGACGTTTAGTTTTCCTGTTTTCATATCTTATACTTTAAATGTTACCATGGATCTAGACAGAGCGGAGATAAAGTGCTCTAATAAGAATCTAAAAATAAACTGGTTTGTGAAACGCTGTAACATAGGCCCAGTATGGGAGTTGCTCACTCCGGGTTATGGGCTCCTCCCACATCTGACTCATCATGAATCTCCTCAAAAATCTGTCTGTTGATATTGAAATTTAGGTATTTTGATTGATACAACGACGTCAAATTATTGAATTTTTTGGTCGAAGCCAAATTTCATCATTTTAAAAGTAGGCATAAAGCGAAAAATACCCATATAGTAAGGTGTCCGAAAAAGCCATAAAGTTGCTGAACACTGCATGAGTTTCTCTAGAATTGCTTTATCTCCTGGCTTTATCCCTTTACTGTGCACTAAAATCTTTATCATGAGGAGATACGAAGCCAATAAGCTTTAATAGATAAAAGTGCGAGGACAAGATGAGAAGAATGCCCAGAAGTTGTCAGCAGAAATTCATTCTGTTTTTGTAGCCTTTGACATATCACGCGATCTCAGCACGCGTATAAGTGCTGAGCATTCGTACTTCAGGGAGCAATCTAAGAGCGCTTGTTTCGTTGCCTTTCATGGGCAATACAAGCAAACGACAATATCTTTAAATTTACCAATTAAAATTTGATGAAATTTGGCAGAAATACTGTTCATATAGCTCTTCATGCAATGAAAGCCTCAAAATTGAATTTTCAACAAGGGAGTTTTGTGACACAATCAAGCTTCTCATGAAAGCTATTTTCTCAAAAATTTCAGTTTTAGCAAAGTTGTTTTTAAAAATGAGGGTTACTAATTGTAAGCTGTGTGCAAATTCGTAAGAAAATCTGATGGAGAGATTTTGCGTAAGCCATATAAATTCAATTTCAATCATCCATGTTGCCATGGCAATGATCTAAATCTCACGTTTAACCCCTAAATGTCATTTTTTCTAAATATATTTTGTCCTTGCAAGACTTGAGCGTTATTCCTGCAACGAGCCTTAGATAACACTCTAAAGAATGGTAACGACTCACAACCTATCAAACTAGCTGGGTTCAGTCACCTTAATAATCTCTAACAATAAAACTGATGTCATGATGACGTCATTTATTATTAAAGAAGAAACGGGAACCTTTTGTCATTTTGAATCAATCAAATATATTCCATTTGACTTAAACTCCGCATAAATCGAAGTAATCGTGATAGAAAATTTAATCTGTGTATAAAAGGATGCCGAGCAAGCCAAAAAAAAACAAAAAAAAACAAAAAATGGCATGAGTTTAAGACAATCAACAACAAAAAAACAAAAACAAATTCATTTAACTACGCTAGCCACACGCAACAAAAGCTGGGGCCTAGGCAAACACACATTACAAAAAATAGAATCAGTATGGTGTTCACTATCGGAATGCAAAATGTTAAAAACGTTTAGAGAATTACTAATTGCGTAGAAATATTCACAGTGCAGCTAGCTTTTAGGGTCTTAGAATAAATGACGAGAAAGTGCCATCTTTGCTCCGATCGATTGCTTAATTCACTCTGTGGGACATAAAATAACTACGTGTCTTAACAGTGACACCCATTTTGTCAACTCAGAAACCTTTTAGACCAACGCTAAATGTCCGACTTATAGGGATCAGAGTTAAAAACAAGAGAACAAGGAAAGGCAGGCGCCAGCTCTAGGTGTCTTACCGGGGTGTACGTATTAAGCCGATTTAGACAGTACGATTTTTGCTTACGACTATCGTGCGCGAGTAGCATGCATCATGACCTTACGACAGATCATGTCGTGTAAATTAGACCCACGACGTTTACACGACACATTGTGGATATCGTACGTGAAAATTGTGCGCATGTGGATGGTCGAAAGTCTTGACGTATGCTAGTCGCGCACAATAGTAGCCGTAAGGAAAAATCGTACCGTTCAAATAGGCCTTTCTAGAGGTGTTAAAGGGGCTGTGTCACGACTGTGTAATTCTTTTTGCAAATTTTGTCCAATTTACGTCCATTTTTGCAATGGAGGTTAACTTAAGCGAAGATATTCTTGGCAAAGACAAATTCACAACTCCTTGTCAAACAAATACCGTGTATCTCCCATAATATCAGATGTTACAAACAACAAAAATGACCTTTGAAAAATTGTTAGGCTAACAAGTTGTCAAAACGACCCTAATTGTATTCCGCTTTAATCTTCTTAAAATTTTCTCTTGTATGTACTGTGTTCTTTTATACCTTCTTTTAACGTTTTGAACGGTTATTTTTATATTTCACTTAACTTGGCGGCAGTTCCCCCAGTATGAATTTTGATAAATTTTGTGACATAGTTCCTCCAAAAAAAAATTCTTATTCGAATTAAGAGGACTCATTATTTATTATCTCGTTAACTGCTAATAAACAAACAAACAAAAAAATAATAACAGCAACAAAAAACAGCTAGGGACACGGGTTTACACTGGATTCAAATTAACTTTAACATATTCCGCGTAATTGGCCTGAAACTTGCACTAATCATTGAAAGTCTTAAGCACAGTAAGGCAAGTCGTTTTTCTGCTTATATAAAGTGTTTTTCTAAACAGTTTCTAAATATGTTTAAGCTTGGGTCTAAATGGGGCAGTCCACTTTACAAGTTTCGAAAATCCTATGACTCAAGCTTTGAGCTTTACATGGCACCTACTTGAGGACACACAAATTCGCAACAGAGTGGATTGTACGGTGTGTAGCACACCCATCCAAAAGACGTCTTGTCTTTGCCACAGTTGACAAAGAAACTATTTGATCCGTCGTTTACTTGGCAAGATATGTCCCAATGGCTATTCCAGCAGTTTCTTACATTATTAAAACGAAGATGTCTCCCAGAACAAGACAGGAACTGTTGAATGCGCCTAGAGGCTAGAAGGTAATTCAAAGACAAGTTAGAGAATCCTTATTCAGTTAACAAAACCACTGAATAATAATAATAATAATAATAATAATAATAATAATAATAATAAACACAAGCTTGCTGACGTTTTTACTTAGATTTTTTAGAACATTAGAGTGTGATATTATTACAAATATGTTTTTAGTAGAGATAGCGAAGGTTTTACAGAGTATCAGACTTTAATAATATTCTAAATTGGCTTTTTAAGTAGAGAGATTCATATCACTATGTATTTTAGGATTGTATTAGGTTTCGTATCGGCCTTTTCTTACTTCTAAGTATAGTTTCTCAAGTGGTGTAGGTTACGCTATGCGCCCTATACTACTCATAATGTGGACAGCATTCCAAAGTTTCATACTGCGACATAATAATAATAATAATAATAATAATAAAAATAATAATGAGGCAAGAAGACCAGACATTGTCTTTCTTGATAAGAAGGAGGGAGAGGTTATCATAACTGCATTGGTGTTGCCACCCCTGGTGATGACAGGGTGAAAGATAAGGAACTTTAGAAGTTAGAGAAATACCAACTATTGAAAGATGAAATTGCAAAAGTCTGGGGCATGCGAAAAGTCATTGTAGTGCCAGTTGTTATTGGCGCCTTTGGAGCCGTATCAGTCAACTTTTAATTTAAGGAGTACATGAAGCGAATCGGCGTGAACGTGAGGTTAGAAGCTATCCAGAATACAGCATTGTTGGGAACAGCAAAGATACTAAGGAAAGTACTGTCCCATTAAGAAGAAAGAAAAGAGAGACCAGGGACCGGTGGTGACTTGCTGTAACCCGCTCCCAAGGACTATAAACCAGGCCAAACATCCTACCCGAGTCTACAAGGAATGGACCTAATAATAATAATAATAATAATAATAATAATAATAATAATAATAATAATAATAATATATTTTTTAAAAAATTAATAATTAAAATCTTTATTACAAAACCTCAATTAAAATCCTATTTACAATCAACCTGCTGTTACAAAAAATCTAATTAATTCATCAAAACACTATTTGCAATTCCATCCGTTACAAAAGAAAAAAAAATAATAATAATAATAACAGTAATAATAATAATAATAATCATCATCATCATCATCATATCATCATCATTTCAAAAAACTGATTAAAAACACACTCTGGATAAAAGAATTGAGAGAAAAATGAGCTACCAGATTGCAGCCTTTGACGAACGATGAAAAACGCGCAAATGCATGAATACAAAGTAACCGACCACGGTGCGAAATGTGCCTGATAATGAACTCATGCCAAAAGCTATTTTAAAGAATAGAACATTGCTTAGGTAATAACGATAATGATGATGTGTAATTAAGTAGGGAAATAAACTTCCAAAAAGGTCTAATTTTGGTAATTTCAGGTCATAAACACCAAGTTAGCCTGACTTTTTTTCTGGTACAAATAGCTCTCCACCTTTGATAAAGAAAACCATAAATTGGGCTAACAATAAAGTACATAAATTAAGAAGTTAGTTTTAACGTTGGTTAAGGGAGGGCTAGCTGGGGCATTTCCCCAGAATCTTGATTCTAGATCCGAAAATCGCTCTAATTTGATATAATCTCTCCTTTCAGACAAAAAAGTGATAAGTAAGTTTTCATTACCTTTTACACATACAGGAGCTGTGCCATTCCAGGTTCCGTTTTCTGTACAGGTGATGTAATCATCACCAAAAAGGACGTAGCCGCTATTGCAGGTAAAGTTATAATTCGAACGATAAACGTGGCCGCTTCCTTGGACGTGACCATTGGCCAGGTAACTTGATAAAGGCGGAGAACACTCTGCATAAGGAAATGTTCATAAGTCTTCATTATTTTTTAAAAAAGGTAAAAATTAAATTTCAAGATCATCGCAGTTAGGTACGCATGCAAACTTCGAGTTGTGATAAAAAAGCCTGAAAAAAAAATCAGGTGCTTTCCGGGACTCGATCCTTGACCTCTAGAGAAGAAGCTATGTACACTAATAGAACTTGCAAAAGTGACAACAGCAGCTGAACGCTCTGAAAAGTGTTGCAGTGGAACCCGGTTGATAGGGAGACCAAGGGCACATGCCATACTGCCCGTATTATCCGGGTGTCCGTATTAAGCAGGCTCTCAGGAAAAAAAACATCAACGAGACATATTTAATTGATAAAAAGATACAAAGTGGACACGACTGAAAGAAAAAGCTAAGGAAGTGAAACCTGAGCAATAAAAGGGTCAAACGCCGCAAGAAAGACGGACTGATCGAAATCAAACATGTCACGCATCTTTGCTACTGTTTTTTCTGATGATAAAATCGCCTAAACCCCTGTAAATCTGTCATTATTTGCATAGGGTACAATGTCTACAACTAGCACATAAATGTGACTATAAAAATAGCCAGTGCGCGGATAACCAGTTTCCGTGAAGCGGGGCTAACGATTTGATAGAGATTGGGGCGAACTCGGGACACAAATAAAGTGTCCTTTGCCCTTATAAACTTGTGTCCGTATTAAGCAGGTTAATTTTAGAGCAAATTTATGAGCTTTTCGTCGGGACAAACGAAGCTGTCTGCTATACACGGGTGTCAGTTTAAGCGGTTGTCCGCAGAGCCGGGTTCCATTTCATTAGCCTTACACAAATTTTATGAGCAATTTCATTGCGGGAAAATAAACAGCTGTTTGTTCCCTCATAAAAAACTTAGGTATAAAATTTATTCAATAGCTTACCTTTTGGAAGACATTCTGGGGCTGAACCATTGTAAACACCGTCTTTGCAAGTCACGTGACTTGAACCGTTCAAGAAGAATCCTCTGTTGCAGACAAACATGTAATCTATTTCAGTGCCAAATTCCGTATCATTTCTGAACACGATACCATCTGTTAGGTTAGAGTTCAATGGTACACAAGCTGAAAAGGACAAATGCATGTCAGCAACCGTCCTAGACTCCTAACAGTTTCTTATTATCTTTAAGTTAGAGATGTTTAACAACTGTCACACGTGAGTGACATGCCGCGAAATAACGATGACGTCAGTCCAGTGAGAAAAAATGGCTGGCGCTCTATTTATGTCTTCGAAATTCACAAAGTCAACAAATAAAACAGTAAATTGAGAAATTCCAAAAGCTCTGCCATATTTTAAACCCGTTTTAACGTCCATTTTTTTAAACAAGCTACCCAGAGAAATGGGAACATGCGTCCAGGGAACATGCGTCAAATCACCTTCATGTTTATTAGTCTCGCTTGCGTAAGCGGCGAGACTCATAATCTGCAACGCGTTTTTCGTCCTACTGTGTATTTTGTGGGGTCATTGTACCAGGCGTTCTTTTCGGAGACCTGTGGAAACTGGGCCTAAGAATCTTTGCGTGATCGAAGCCACGCACGCATGTTTTGCGAAGAAGGATTAGGAAAGATTATATTTGTAGTTTTTCCGAAACGTGTCGGTCCACGAATTCTATCGCTTAAAAGCGCGGATTACTTTGGAACAAGTGAATACTACTGAGTGGTCGAGAAAATAAGAATCTTAATTAGCAAAAATGCGATGGTCGGATGTTGTAAACTTTTATTGTATGCAAATGGTACTCGTGATGAGCATGCGGTTTATTTTCGGCGATGATTGAAATGACGTGCCATGTAAATCACTTTTTTGATCTCTGGCAATGATGTAATTTCTCTGGAATCGAGGCCCTTGACTTTTCGTGTATTTATACATGCGTATAGCCTGCGACCTCAGACGTATTTCAGGTCGTCGCTAACACGCGTACTAATCAATCGAGAAACAAATGAAAAGTATCGACGTCGATAAAGTAGGAAGTAAAAACCTTCAGCAAGTAAATTCTGTTTCGTGTAGAATTAATCGCTTCCTCATTTCTCGATCTATTCGCTAAGCAAGCGAGACTAATGGCCGATGTAAGAGAGTCCTTGTTATGAGGTAAACTCAGTTTCAATGATCAACTAGTCAAAGTATTCAAGCGAAAGGTAAAAAACAAGAAGGTTTTTGAACCTATTGCAAGACGTTTAGATATGATCGAATCTTAACGTATAGGATTTAAATGTAGCCTTCAAATAATGACTAATCTGACTTATATTTTGTTCGAAATAGTATACCTCGAATAGATATCAGATTTTTCCAGATTTTTCTCTTTTTGCAGTATTTCAAGAGGTTACTACAAATATTACAACACAATACAAAAGAAAGAAAAAAAAAATAAAGCAGCAAACTACATAAATCATCAAAGGTGAAGTGTAGGCACAGTGACCAAAGAAGCTTAGGTTTTCGAGTTGGTCATTGCTACATGCAACTAAATGGCGTAGACATTTACAAACAGACACATCACGTCGTCATCAATATGGGTTATGAGAAAGGCTACGAGTCCTCAGCTTGTACGTTCGCAAGATTTAGATCAACTTTCGCGCCCTTAGAAGGAGTGAAAATGATCAGTAACATTTAGTTTATTGGCTCTCATGTGGAGAAATAATGGACAGGCACGCGCAATAGATAGAGGATTAAGATTGCGTAACCCCGCCGAACAGCCGTCTTTAAGAAGAGACTTTGTATCGATGAAAACAAAATAAACTGATCTTTAGGTACGGAACCAAGCTTTCAGCGGTGTAGGCAAAATGACACTGATCTATTTGGTACCAGATTGTAAGTGTTTCATGGTTAAGTTCTAAGAAGAACGTAACACTCTGCTTTAAACTATGACTGCAATACCGGTTTCGGAACCAAATATTGGATCCTTCGTCAGTTGGTTAGGTATAGCTGTTAACAAGAGCTCACCAAGACAGATAGTGTCGTAAACAAAGCTTGAGCCTGCTCTTCATGTAGCAAACAGAATCCAGCTAGTGATTGGTTCTTAAAGCGACAAGCTGATTGGATGATTTATCTGACCTTTGTTGTATGAGGACAACTTGATCCTGCTCAAGCGTTAAAGTCATGCGTTAGAGATCCAATGTGTAAGATTAGCCAAAAATTTTGCCCCCTAAAACTAGTTTGTCCTAAATTTAACGCTTGATTCTTGATCCGAAAATCGCTCTAATTTGATATAATCTCTCCTTTCAGACTAAAAAGTGATAAGTAAGTTTTCATTACCTCTTACACATACAGGAGATGTGCCATTCCAGGTTCCGTTTTCTGTACAGGTGATGTAATCATCACCAAAAAGGACGTAGCCGCTATTGCAGGTAAAGTTGTAATTCGAACGATAAACGTGGCCGCTTCCTTGAACGTGACCATTGGCCAGATAACTTGATAAAGGCGGAGAACACTCTGCATAAGGAAATGTTCATAAGTCTTCATTATTTTTTAAAGGAGGTAAAAATTAAATTTCAAGATCATCGCAGTTAGATACGGAAACTTCGAGTTGTGATAAAAATGCCTGAAAAAAATTCACGCGCTTTCCGGGACTCGATCCTTGACCTCTAGAGAAGAAGCTATGTACACTAATAGAACTTTCAAAAGTGACAACAGCAGCTGAACGCTCTGAAAAGTGTTGCAGTGGAACCCGGTTGATAGGGAGACCAAGGGCACATGCCATACTGCCCGTGTTATCCGGGTGTCCGTATTAAGCAGGCTCTCAGGAAAAAAAAAATCATGAAGGAGACGTATTTAATTGATATAAAGATACAAAGTGGACACGACTGAAAGAAAAAGCTAAGGAAGTGAAACCTGAGCAATAAAAGGGTCAAACGCCGCAAGAAAGACGGACTGATCGAAATCAAACATGTCACGCATCTTTGCTACTGTTTTTTCTGATAATAAAATTGCCTAAGCCCCTGTAAATCTGTCATTATTTGCACAGGGTACAATGTCTACAACTAGCACATAAATGTGACCATAAAAATAGACAGTGCGCGGATAACCAGCGACCGTGAAGCGGGGCTAACGATTTGTTAGAGATTGGGGGCGAATTCGGGACACAAATAAAGTGTCCTTTGCCCGTATAAACTTGTGTCCGTATTAAGCAGGTTAATTTTAGAGCAAATTTATGAGCTTTTCGTCGGGACAAACGAAGCTGTCTGTTATATGCGGGTGTCAGTTTAATCAGTTGTCCGCAGAGCCGGGTTCCATTTCATTAGGCTTACACAAATTTTATGAGCAATTTCTATTGTCTGATGTACAATGATTGGACACCATTCCTTTCCCTGTTTTTCACTGCGGGAAAATAAACAGCTGTTTGTTCCCTCATAAAAAACTTAGGTATAAAATTTATTCAATAGCTTACCTTTTGGAAGACATTCTGGGGCTGAACCATTGTAAACACCGTCTTTGCAAGTCACGTGACTTGAACCGTTCAAGAAGAATCCTCTGTTGCAGACAAACATGTAATCTATTTCAGTGCCAAATTCCGTATCATTTCTGAACACGATACCATCTGTTAGGTTAGAGTTCAATGGTACACAAGCTGAAAAGGACAAATGCATGTCAGCAACCGTCCTAGACTCCTAACAGTTTCTTATTATCTTTAAGTTAGAGATGTTTAACAACTGTCACACGTGAGTGACATGCCGCGAAATACCGATGACGTCAGTCCAGTGAGAAAAAATGGCTGGCGCTCCATTTATGTCTTCGAAATTCACAAAGTTAACAAATAAAACAGTAAATTGAGAAATTCCAAAAGCTCTGCCATATTTTAAACCCGTTTTAAACAAGCTACCCAGATAAATAGCAAGGGAACATGCGTCAAACCAACTTCATGTTTATTAGTCTCGCTTGCGTAAGCAGCGAGACTCATAATCTGCAACGCGTTTTTCGTCCTACTGTGTATTTTGTAGGGTCATTGTACCAGGCGTTATTTTCGGAGACCTGTGGAAACTGGGCCTAAGAATCTTTGCGTGATCGAAGCCACGCACGCATGTTTTGCGAAGAAGGATTAGGAAAGATTATATTTGTAGTTTTTCCGAAACGTGTCGGTCCACGAATTCTATCGCTTGAAAGCGCTGATTACTTTGGAACAAGTGAATACTACTGAGTGGTCGAAAAAATAAGTATCTTAATTAGCAAAAATGCGATGGTCGGATGTTGTAAACTTTTATTGTATGCAAATGATACTTGTGATGAGCATGCGGCTTATTTTCGGCGATGATTGAAATGACGTGCTATGTAAATCACTTTTTTGATCTCTGGCAATGATGTAATTTCTCTGGAATCGAGGCCCTTGACTTTTCGTGTATTTATACATGCGTATAGCCTGCGACCTCAGACGTATTTCAGGTCGTCGCTAACACGCGTACTAATCAATTGAGAAACAAATGAAAAGTATCGACGTCGATAAAGTAGGAAGTAAAAACCTTCAGCAAGTAAATTCTGTTTCGTGTAGAATTAATCGCTTCCGCATTTCTCGATCTATTCGCTAAGCAAGCGAGACTAATGGCCGATGTAAGAGAGTCCTTGTTATGAGGTAAACTCAGTTTCAATGATCAACTAGTCAAAGTATTCAAGCGAAAGGTAAAAAACAAGAAGGTTTTTGAACCTATTGCAAGACGTTTAGATATGATCGAGTCTTAACGTATAGGATTTAAATGTAGCCTTCAAATAATGACTACTCTGACTTATATTTTGTTCGAAATAGTATACCTCGTATAGATATCAGATTCTTCTAGATTGTTCTCTTTTTGCAGTATTTCAAGAGGTTACTACAAAAATTACAACAGCAATACAAAAGAAAGAAAAAATAAATAAAAAAGCAAACTACATAAGTCATCGAAGGTGAAGTGTGAGCACAGTGACCAAAGGAGCTTAGGTTTTCGAGTTGGTCACTGCTACATGCAACTAAATGGCGTAGACATTTACAAACAGACACATCACGCCGTCATCAATATGGGTTATGAGAAAGGCTACGAGTCCTCAGCTTGTACGTTCGCAAGATTTAGATCAACTTTCGCGCCCTTAGAAGGAGTGAAAATGATCAGTAACATTTAGTTTATTGGCTCTCATGTGGAGAAATAATGGACAGGCACGCGCAATAGATAGAGGATTAAGATTGCGTAACCTTGCCGAATAGCCGTCTTTAAGAAGAGACTTTACAAGCAAGCGCGGAATGAAACTAACAATGCTATCAAATCAGCCAAACGTCAGTATTTTTTGCACAACTTAGAGTTGAATAAAAAGAATTCGTCCAAAACTTGGAAGCTAATTAACGAACTGAGCTCGCGTAAATCTTGCACAAACCGCAATATCACTGAAATTAAAACAGATAACGAAACTATAAATTCTGCGCCTGAAATTGCAGAAGCTTTTAATAACTTTTTCACCTCTATTGGACCAAATCTAGCCAGTAAATTATCACCTTCTAATATCGACCCTGAAAGTTATTTACAACCCACTAAAACAGCCTTCTCCTTAAGGGCTCTTAGTGTCACAACTGTGTGTGAACTACTAAGTGAGCTTGACGAAAAGAAAGCCATGGGATTGGACGGAGTTCCTTGTAAACTTCTGAAATTAGCCAGTTCCATTATTGGACCATCATTAACGAAAATTTTTAATAGCTGTATAGAAACAGAAACCTTTCCAGATGAATGGAAAATCGCCAAGGTGACTCCTATCTTTAAAAAAGGATCAAAATCTGACCTGAATAACTATAGACCAATTTCTGTATTGCCAATTGTCTCAAAGCTATTCGAGAAAATTATCTATCAACAACTCTATGATTACCTAGATAAAAAACAAACATTTGAATACTTATCAATCCGGCTTTCGATCGCTCCATAGCACCATGACGGCGCTACTTGAATCAACGAACAACTGGTCTATTAACATAGATAACGGCCTTTTAAATGGTGTGGTATATATCGACCTTAAAAAGGCTTTTGACACCATTGACCATGCAATTTTGTTACATAAACTTGCAAACTATGGACTTGATCTGGGTTCCCTACGATTCTTTGCCTCCTACCTAGGTAACAGGAGCCAGAAATGTTATGTTAATGGCGTATTGTCCAGTGCAAGCGAACTAAGATGCGGAGTCCCACAGGGTAGTATTCTCGGTCCTTTGTTCTTCTTAATCTATATAAACGATCTTCCAAACTGCCTTAATTCAGCATGCGCTAAAATGTTCGCAGATGATACAACTATTACCATTTCTGGTTCCTCTCTAGCTGACCTTGAACAAGAGACTAACTTAGAACTACTGAACCTTCACTGTTGGCTAAAAGCCAATAAGCTTAGTCTTAATGTTGCGAAAACCGAGTTTATGGTTATTGGCTCTCGCCAGAAGCTTCTCGCGGAAAGCCATAACGAAATAAACATCAAACTAGAAGACCAAGTTATCAGCAATGTTGATCACGCAAAATCATTAGGTCTCATTATTGACAATCGGCTTTCCTGGTCTAATCATGTTAACGAATTGTGTAAGAAGGTAACTTCGGCTATAGGTGCCCTTAGACGTATTAGGCCCCTTATCTCCCAATCTACTGCGGTACTAGTCTATAACTCCTTAATTCAACCTCACTTTGATTACTGTAGCCTTGTTTGGGATGGCTTAAGTGATCAACTGAGTGACAAATTACAAAAGTTACAGAACCGTGCAGCTAGAGTAATTTTAAAGGCCAACTATGGGACTAGCTCGAGCCTGCTTCTTGATATACTCAAATGGGACAAATTAGTTATAAGGAGAAAGAAGCATAAAGCAATAATGATGTTTAAATCTCTAAATGAACAAGCTCCAGTGTACTTGCAGAACCTATTTCACGAACGAAGCACAGACTATGATTTGCGCAATTCCTTTCATAAATTGACGTTGCCCAGGCCGCGTACTAACTACTTGAAACGAAGTTTCAGTTACAGCGGTGCTTTGTTGTGGAACTCTTTACCCGAAAATGTGAGAGAAACTAAATCAGTCAGGAAATTTAAAGAGCAAATCAAACATGTATTTGAGTCGTCGGACTCTCACTCGGCAGTCTTGTAAAACAGTATGTCGATAGTTTTTAGTCTAATTAATTGTGATTAGATTTTTACTCTATTATTACTGAAGATTTTACCGAGTTTTAAATAAAAAATCTACCTACCTACCTACCTACTTTGTATCGATGAAAACAAAATAAACTGATCTTTAGGTACGGAACCAAGCTTTCAGCGGTGTAGGCAAAATGACACTGATCTATTTGGTTCCAGATTGTAGGTATTTCATGGTTAAGTTCTAAGAAGAACGTAACACTCTGCTTTAAGCTGTGACTGCAAGACCGGTTTCGGAACCAAATATTGGACCCTTCGTCAGTTGGTTAGGTATATAGCTGTCAACAAGAGCTCACCAAGACAGATAGTGTTGTAAACTAAGCTTGAGCCTGCTCTTCATGTAGCAAACAGAATCCAGCTAGTGATTGGTTCTTAAAGCAACAAGTTGATTGGATGATTTATCTGACCTTTGTTGTATGAGGACAACTTGATCCTGCTCAAGCGTTAACAGGGACTGCGCAGCGGGAGGGGCTGGGGGGCCCCCACTTTTTTGCAAGAATAAAAACAAATTAAACCAAAAATAATTTAACAAAAGTAATTCGAAAGTGACCAGAGTTACTGGCAAAGACCAACGCGCAGATAAATAGACAGAATGAAGCATTAGTCGTTACAATTGTAAAATATTTTTTCGCTTCTAACCTAGCATAGGTAAACGTCTTTTAAATGGCTTCTTTTTCCTGCGGACCTCTCAGGAAAACGCGTTGTTTTGTAATTGGTCAATTTCGATCCAAAGTAATAACTGGGTTTAGTTTATAAGGCGATTCTCAAACAAATTGTTTATTAGTTTCAATCTTGATTTTTGGAAGATCATGAAGTTATTGTTTCTCTTGTTATTGTGCGTCCTGATTTTAGCTCGATCAGCGCGAAGTCCGTCTTTTGATGTCAGGCTTCGCGGCTCGTTGAGCATTCCAATTGCAAGTTTTGTTGAACGCGGTCTGTTTATAAAAACATTTTGTCATCGAAAGTACTTAAACCGCGGAATTGTGTATAGCTCTGGTCATCAAGGCACATTCAATCCGGCGGTTATTACGAATAAAGAAGTGAACATGGTACACGGCAACATAAATACGAACGACGAGACTTCACATACCACTAGTAATGCAAAAAAGAGATCTCTTAAATTTCTGATTACTTATCCAAACAAAATGGAAAACCTTCTTTATCTGGTGAGTAAACTCTGCATAATTTTTGCTACTTTTTTCTGAATCTGTTCTATAATTGAATCTTCATTCACTAAATTATTTTCAGTTACCGTTTTGTTTTGCCGTGTAAATATTTTTAATGAATAATTAAACAATTATTGAACTCAGCTTGAACTCGGCTTTCGTATGATATGAAGATATACAGATCTCGGAGGGTGTTATCCACCGGGCTCAAGCCTTCGGCTTTGGCGGATAACCCCCTCGATCTGCATAACTCTTCATATCATACTCAGCCTCGTGCAATAATTGCTCAGTAATTATACAGCCTTGAGTTCAAGGCAGCTCAAGCAAAATCGTTGGATTTCTGGCTTATTTATAGTAATTAAAGGTTGATATCAGTAGTATAACATAACAATCTATGATAGTTCAATTTAGTGATGGTGAATTTTCAGACCCGATAGCAACATCACTGAAGATGTGGAAAAAAATCAATAGTTTTATCGTTATTCGCATTCTCCGTCACTTTAGAGAAATTGAATAGAGATCCACCAGCATGCCCCCCCGGCCCCCCCCCAAAAAAATTCCTTCACGCATTCTTCTTTAGCACCCCCAGTCGGAAACTTACTGCGCGGTCCCTGGTTAAAGTCATGCGTTAGAGATCCAATGTGTAAGATTAGCCAAAAATTTTGCCCCCTAAAACTAGTTTGTCCTAAATTTAACGCTTGATTCTTGATCCGAAAATCGCTCTAATTTGATATAATCTCTCCTTTCAGACTAAAAAGTGATAAGTAAGTTTTCATTACCTTTTACACATACAGGAGATGTGCCATTCCAGGTTCCGTTTTCTGTACAGGTGATGTAATCATCACCAAAAAGGACGTAGCCGCTGTTGCAGGTAAAGTTGTAATTCGAACGATAAACGTGGCCGCTTCCTTGAACGTGACCATTGGCCAGATAACTTGATAAAGGCGGAGAACACTCTGCATAAGGAAATGTTCATAAGTTTTCATTATTTTAAAAAGGGTAAAAATTAAATTTCAAGATCATCGCAGTTAGACACGAATCTTTGACTTGCGGTGAAAAAAGCCTGACAAAAATCAGGCGCTCGCCAGGACTCGCACCCTGACCTCCAGAAGCATGTGTACAGCGCACTAACCAATTGAGTTAACCGGCAACAGGAAGCTGGTTATTAAATTGTCATAAATAAATTTTTACACTTAAAGAAGGTAGCGACGTGCAACATGGCTCTCCTTCCCCCATATGGACCGCTGAGGTCTGCCTGTTGGGTAAAGACCAGTCGCATGAGCGAGGAGCTTTTCTCTGTGCCGTCAAGAACAGGTGTAAGCTGGGTAATGGCAGCAAAGAGATAGCTGAAATTTCTTGTAAATATGTTTAAAATTGAGCAATTAAAATTTCCAAATAGTAGAGCGCTTGCCCTTTCTCAGAGAAAATCGATTCACTCTTGATCTGTCCACTCTGACTTGAATCTCTCTTCACTGGTAAGTTTATATATACTTTATAAAATCAGTTGATATAACTCAATTTTTTTTGTCCTACTTCGCAATCGACGCAGCGCCACAGTTTTGTTTTGAGAATAGCGCAACCGTTACTCACTTTTTAAAAAGTATCTGTGTTTGTTTGCCAAAACGTTTGAATAGCAAATTGTATTTTGTAAAAGGTTAAATACGCTCATCAGCAAAAACAAGCATAAATACAAACATGCAACAGTGACTACAGCAGCTGAAAAGTGTTGCAGTGGAACCAGTTCATGATACGGAGACCAAGGGCACATGCAATACTGCTAGCATTATCCTGGTGTCCGTATTAACCGGGCTCTCAGAAAAAAACTTCAAGGAGACATTTTATTGATATAAACATACAAAGGAGACATGACTGAAAGAAAAAGCTAAGGAAGTGAAACCTGAGCAATAAGAGTGAAAACTTTAATAAAGGACCAAAATAAAAGGGTAAAACACCATAATTAAGAAAGACGGACTGATCGAAATCAAACATACCACGCATCTTTGCTACTGTTTTTTCCGATGATAAAATCGCATAGACGCCCATAAATCTGTCATTATTTGCACAGGGTATAATGTGTACAACTACAGTCTCAGACAAAAATAGTTGGGACACTTTAGCCAAACGCTGTTTTTTCCCTTCTCGTGCTCACCTCGTCCCTCTCAAAGTTGTTTATCGCGGTTCGGTCACCAAACCTTGTACACCAACATTGAGGGGACAAGGAGACCCCAAAGTGTCCCAACCATTTTGACTGAGACTGTATTTTAGAGGAATTTTAGGTATGTGACTCCAAGTTGGCTCTAGTGGCGGGAAATCGCTAGGCAGGTAAATGCACGTTTCGGAGCCATTTTTTCGGGAAAAAACATTAGAGATTTCACGGATAGAAAGAGAGAAGACAATCAATAGAGGAAAGAAGTCTTTGTTTCTTTAATTACAACATTCCGAAGTATTAAAAAAAGTTTTCTACGTATTGGGTTTAAAGAGTGAACAACAGTTGAGTCAAAACTGCGCGCCTTATTTCGCAGGCTTGTATCTTGCCGCTTAAATATATTATACCGGTGGAGGCACGATTAGACGGGTCACCATAACAGGTCACCATACTATCCAGGGCATTTTCTAAGACCTCTCTGGTATATACAAAGGATTAAGAAAGAAAAGGATAAGGGACTTTCACACTTAATTGAAATAGCTAAGGTTTATAGCGCCTTGATACATGTAAGACAAGTTATTAAAACTTTGATCATGGTGACACGATTGTTCGCTGAAAGAAACTTATAATATCTTAATTGAATTAATGCACGGTGACCCGTGTACACGTCGAGTATAACGCTTTTTTTGGAGGTTTTAAGGATAGGTACTGTCCTCGTTTGATATGATTCATGTTTTGGACCTCAAGTCCCACATTTATGGCACAGTAGTTTGTTTTAGAGCTCTTCAGGAAAGTGTATATTTGGGGTAAAGAATGAGAACCGATGTCACCATTTGGCGCAAGGCCAAATTAACATATGTTGTAAGCAAGTTATAAAAGTTGTCGATTTCACAGCAGTAGCCTGGAATATCATTAAGAAACTTTTTGGCGTCGGACCAAACAGTTACACTATTGTTGGACACCCTTTTTACGCGCTGGTAGTCCTGAATAGTATCTTTAGAAATTTAGAAAGCGGGATACTGTTCTCGCTGATACGTTTTGGGAATAATCCTGGCTTGTTGCATTTTCCTCCAAACTGGAGAAAAAGTTTCCCCCTTTCTCTTGACATCGCTTAATCGCTCTTTCGGCTGTCTTTCGCCTCTTGCCGTTAAGTTAGAAAGGCGTCCCTTTGAGCCTTGTTCCTATACTCTTTCTTGGCAAAGAGACCTTCTTTGTTATTTTCCACACATTTTTTCCAGAAATGTGGCACATTCGGGCGCCTCTCCGTATACGAAAAGCCCCGAATCTTACGTAGATAGCCATGCACGTGCTATGTTGTCACGCTACCAATCGGCCACAAGAAAGCTATTTGTGTACGACTTACTGCACACTCAGTTCCCTTTATTTTCCAATACTCTACTCTGTTCAAGAAATTTCTGCGAACTGGTCATTCTTTGTGTTATGTTGTTATGCCCAAATAACTTAGTTCACTGCTATAGAAACGTTCGCGAAACACAATAGACGCCCAACAAACCAAAAACCCGTCGCTTGTGACCGACCTACAGTTTAACCTCTATATCTGTCAACGCGCCTTCAAATTTCTCCCCGACACACTCTTAGACAAAAATAGTTGGGACACTTTAGCCAAACGCTGTTTTTTCCCTTCTCGTGCTCACCTCGTCCCTCTCAAAGTTGTTTATCGCGGTTCGGTCACCAAATCTTGTACACCAACATTGAGGGGACAAGGAGACCCCAAAGTGTCCCAACCATTTTGACTGAGACTGTATTTTAGAGGAATTTTAGGTATGTGACTCCAAGTTGGCTCTAGTGGCGGGAAATCGCTAGGCAGGTATATGCACGTTTCGGAGCCATTTTTTCGGGAAAAAACATTAGAGATTTCACGGATAGAAAGAGAGAAGACAATCAATAGAGGAAAGAAGTCTTTGTTTCTTTAATTACAACATTCCGAAGTATTAAAAAAGTTTTCTACGTATTGGGTTTAAAAGAGTGAACAACAGTTGAGTCAAAACTGCGCGCCTTATTTCGCAGGCTTGTATCTTGCCGCTTAAATATATTATACCGGTGGAGGCACGATTAGACGGGTCACCATAACAGGTCACCATACTATCCAGGGCATTTTCTAAGACCTCTCTGGTATATACAAAGGATTAAGAAAGAAAAGGATAAGGGACTTTCACACTTAATTGAAATAGCTAAGGTTTATAGCGCCTTGATACATGTAAGACAAGTTATTAAAACTTTGATCATGGTGACACGATTGTTCGCTGAAAGAAACTTATAATATCTTAATTGAATTAATGCACGGTGACCCGTGTACACGTCGAGTATAACGCTTTTTTGGAGGTTTTAAGGATAGGTACTGTCCTCGTTTGATATGATTCATGTTTTGGACCTCAAGTCCCACATTTATGGCACAGTAGTTTGTTTTAGAGCTCTTCAGGAAAGTGTATATTTGGGGTAAAGAATGAGAACCGATGTCACCATTTGGCGCAAGGCCAAATTAACATATGCTGTAAGCAAGTTATAAAAAGTTGTCGATTTCACAGCAGTAGCCTGGAATATCATTAAGAAACTTTTTGGCGTCGGACCAAACAGTTACACTATTGTTGGACACCCTTTTTACGCGCTGGTAGTCCTGAATAGTATCTTTAGAAATTTAGAAAGCGGGATACTGTTCTCGCTGATACGTTTTGGGAATAATCCTGGCTTGTTGCATTTTCCTCCAAACTGGAGAAAAAGTTTCCCCTTTCTCTTGACATCGCTTAATCGCTCTTTCGGCTGTCTTTCGCCTCTTGCCGTTAAGTTAGAAAGGCGTCCCTTTGAGCCTTGTTCCTATACTCTTTCTTGGCAAAGAGACCTTCTTTGTTATTTTCCACACATTTTTCCAGAAATGTGGCACATTCAGGCGCCTCTCCGTATACGAAAAGCCCCGAATCTTACGTAGATAGCCATGCACGTGCTATGTTGTCACGCTACCAATCGGCCACAAGAAAGCTATTTGTGTACGACTTACTGCACACTCAGTTCCCTTTATTTTCCAATACTCTACTCTGTTCAAGAAATTTCTGCGAACTGGTCATTCTTTGTGTTATGTTGTTATGCCCAAATAACTTAGTTCACTGCTATAGAAACGTTCGCGAAACACAATGGACGCCCAACAAACCAAAAACCCGTCGCTTGTGACCGACCTACAGTTTAACCTCTATATCTGTCAACGCGCCTTCAAATTTCTCCCCGACACACTCTTAGACAAAAATAGTTGGGACACTTTAGCCAAACGCTGTTTTTTCCCTTCTCGTGCTCACCTCGTCCCTCTCAAAGTTGTTTATCGCGGTTCGGTCACCAAACCTTGTACACCAACATTGAGGGGACAAGGAGACCCCAAAGTGTCCCAACCATTTTGACTGAGACTGTATTTTAGAGGAATTTTAGGTATGTGACTCCAAGTTGGCTCTAGTGGCGGGAAATCGCTAGGCAGGTATATGCACGTTTCGGAGCCATTTTTTTTCGGGAAAAACATTAGAGATTTCACGGATAGAAAGAGAGAAGACAATCAATAGAGGAAAGAAGTCTTTGTTTCTTTAATTACAACATTCCGAAGTATTAAAAAAAGTTTTCTACGTATTGGGTTTAAAGAGTGAACAACAGTTGAGTCAAAACTGCGCGCCTTATTTCGCAGGCTTGTATCTTGCCGCTTAAATATATTATACCGGTGGAGGCACGATTAGACGGGTCACCATAACAGGTCACCATACTATCCAGGGCATTTTCTAAGACCTCTCTGGTATATACAAAGGATTAAGAAAGAAAAGGATAAGGGACTTTCACACTTAATTGAAATAGCTAAGGTTTATAGCGCCTTGATACATGTAAGACAAGTTATTAAAACTTTGATCATGGTGACACGATTGTTCGCTGAAAGAAACTTATAATATCTTAATTGAATTAATGCACGGTGACCCGTGTACACGTCGAGTATAACGCTTTTTTTGGAGGTTTTAAGGATAGGTACTGTCCTCGTTTGATATGATTCATGTTTTGGACCTCAAGTCCCACATTTATGGCACAGTAGTTTGTTTTAGAGCTCTTCAGGAAAGTGTATATTTGGGGTAAAGAATGAGAACCGATGTCACCATTTGGCGCAAGGCCAAATTAACATATGCTGTAAGCAAGTTATAAAAAGTTGTCGATTTCACAGCAGTAGCCTGGAATATCATTAAGAAACTTTTTGGCGTCGGACCAAACAGTTACACTATTGTTGGACACCCTTTTTACGCGCTGGTAGTCCTGAATAGTATCTTTAGAAATTTAGAAAGCGGGATACTGTTCTCGCTGATACGTTTTGGGAATAATCCTGGCTTGTTGCATTTTCCTCCAAACTGGAGAAAAAGTTTCCCCCTTTCTCTTGACATCGCTTAATCGCTCTTTCGGCTGTCTTTCGCCTCTTGCCGTTAAGTTAGAAAGGCGTCCCTTTGAGCCTTGTTCCTATACTCTTTCTTGGCAAAGAGACCTTCTTTGTTATTTTCCACACATTTTTTCCAGAAATGTGGCACATTCGGGCGCCTCTCCGTATACGAAAAGCCCCGAATCTTACGTAGATAGCCATGCACGTGCTATGTTGTCACGCTACCAATCGGCCACAAGAAAGCTATTTGTGTACGACTTACTGCACACTCAGTTCCCTTTATTTTCCAATACTCTACTCTGTTCAAGAAATTTCTGCGAACTGGTCATTCTTTGTGTTATGTTGTTATGCCCAAATAACTTAGTTCACTGCTATAGAAACGTTCGCGAAACACAATAGACGCCCAACAAACCAAAAACCCGTCGCTTGTGACCGACCTACAGTTTAACCTCTATATCTGTCAACGCGCCTTCAAATTTCTCCCCGACACACTCTTAGACAAAAATAGTTGGGACACTTTAGCCAAACGCTGTTTTTTTCCCTTCTCGTGCTCACCTCGTCCCTCTCAAAGTTGTTTATCGCGGTTCGGTCACCAAATCTTGTACACCAACATTGAGGGGACAAGGAGACCCCAAAGTGTCCCAACCATTTTGACTAAGACTGTATTTTAGAGGAATTTTAGGTATGTGACTCCAAGTTGGCTCTAGTGGCGGGAAATCGCTAGGCAGGTATATGCACGTTTCGGAGCCATTTTTCGGGAAAAAACATTAGAGATTTCACGGATAGAAAGAGAGAAGACAATCAATAGAGGAAAGAAGTCTTTGTTTCTTTAATTACAACATTCCGAAGTATTAAAAAAAGTTTTCTACGTATTGGGTTTAAAGAGTGAACAACAGTTGAGTCAAAACTGCGCGCCTTATTTCGCAGGCTTGTATCTTGCCGCTTAAATATATTATACCGGTGGAGGCACGATTAGACGGGTCACCATAACAGGTCACCATACTATCCAGGGCATTTTCTAAGACCTCTCTGGTATATACAAAGGATTAAGAAAAGAAAAGGATAAGGGACTTTCACACTTAATTGAAATAGCTAAGGTTTATAGCGCCTTGATACATGTAAGACAAGTTATTAAAACTTTGATCATGGTGACACGATTGTTCGCTGAAAGAAACTTATAATATCTTAATTGAATTAATGCACGGTGACCCGTGTACACGTCGAGTATAACGCTTTTTTTGGAGGTTTTAAGGATAGGTACTGTCCTCGTTTGATATGATTCATGTTTTGGACCTCAAGTCCCACATTTATGGCACAGTAGTTTGTTTTAGAGCTCTTCAGGAAAGTGTATATTTGGGGTAAAGAATGAGAACCGATGTCACCATTTGGCGCAAGGCCAAATTAACATATGCTGTAAGCAAGTTATAAAAAGTTGTCGATTTCACAGCAGTAGCCTGGAATATCATTAAGAAACTTTTTGGCGTCGGACCAAACAGTTACACTATTGTTGGACACCCTTTTTACGCGCTGGTAGTCCTGAATAGTATCTTTAGAAATTTAGAAAGCGGGATACTGTTCTCGCTGATACGTTTTGGGAATAATCCTGGCTTGTTGCATTTTCCTCCAAACTGGAGAAAAAGTTTCCCCCTTTCTCTTGACATCGCTTAATCGCTCTTTCGGCTGTCTTTCGCCTCTTGCCGTTAAGTTAGAAAGGCGTCCCTTTGAGCCTTGTTCCTATACTCTTTCTTGGCAAAGAGACCTTCTTTGTTATTTTCCACACATTTTTTCCAGAAATGTGGCACATTCGGGCGCCTCTCCGTATACGAAAAGCCCCGAATCTTACGTAGATAGCCATGCACGTGCTATGTTGTCACGCTACCAATCGGCCACAAGAAAGCTATTTGTGTACGACTTACTGCACACTCAGTTCCCTTTATTTTCCAATACTCTACTCTGTTCAAGAAATTTCTGCGAACTGGTCATTCTTTGTGTTATGTTGTTATGCCCAAATAACTTAGTTCACTGCTATAGAAACGTTCGCGAAACACAATGGACGCCCAACAAACCAAAAACCCGTCGCTTGTGACCGACCTACAGTTTAACCTCTATATCTGTCAACGCGCCTTCAAATTTCTCCCCGACACACTCTTAGACAAAAATAGTTGGGACACTTTAGCCAAACGCTGTTTTTTCCCTTCTCGTGCTCACCTCGTCCCTCTCAAAGTTGTTTATCGCGGTTCGGTCACCAAACCTTGTACACCAACATTGAGGGGACAAGGAGACCCCAAAGTGTCCCAACCATTTTGACTGAGACTGTATTTTAGAGGAATTTTAGGTATGTGACTCAAGTTGGCTCTAGTGGCGGGAAATCGCTAGGCAGGTATATGCACGTTTCGGAGCCATTTTTTCGGGAAAAAACATTAGAGATTTCACGGATAGAAAGAGAGAAGACAATCAATAGAGGAAAGAAGTCTTTGTTTCTTTAATTACAACATTCCGAAGTATTAAAAAAAGGTTTTCTACGTATTGGGTTTAAAGAGTGAACAACAGTTGAGTCAAAACTGCGCGCCTTATTTCGCAGGCTTGTATCTTGCCGCTTAAATATATTATACCGGTGGAGGCACGATTAGACGGGTCACCATAACAGGTCACCATACTATCCAGGGCATTTTCTAAGACCTCTCTGGTATATACAAAGGATTAAGAAAGAAAAGGATAAGGGACTTTCACACTTAATTGAAATAGCTAAGGTTTATAGCGCCTTGATACATGTAAGACAAGTTATTAAAACTTTGATCATGGTGACACGATTGTTCGCTGAAAAAAACTTATAATATCTTAATTGAATTAATGCACGGTGACCCGTGTACACGTCGAGTATAACGCTTTTTTGGAGGTTTTAAGGATAGGTACTGTCCTCGTTTGATATGATTCATGTTTTGGACCTCAAGTCCCACATTTATGGCACAGTAGTTTGTTTTAGAGCTCTTCAGGAAAGTGTATATTTGGGGTAAAGAATGAGAACCGATGTCACCATTTGGCGCAAGGCCAAATTAACATATGCTGTAAGCAAGTTATAAAAAGTTGTCGATTTCACAGCAGTAGCCTGGAATATCATTAAGAAACTTTTTGGCGTCGGACCAAACAGTTACACTATTGTTGGACACCCTTTTTACGCGCTGGTAGTCCTGAATAGTATCTTTAGAAATTTAGAAAGCGGGATACTGTTCTCGCTGATACGTTTTGGGAATAATCCTGGCTTGTTGCATTTTCCTCCAAACTGGAGAAAAAGTTTCCCCCCCTTTCTCTTGACATCGCTTAATCGCTCTTTCGGCTGTCTTTCGCCTCTTGCCGTTAAGTTAGAAAGGCGTCCCTTTGAGCCTTGTTCCTATACTCTTTCTTGGCAAAGAGACCTTCTTTGTTATTTTCCACACATTTTTTTCCAGAAATGTGGCACATTCAGGCGCCTCTCCGTATACGAAAAGCCCCGAATCTTACGTAGATAGCCATGCACGTGCTATGTTGTCACGCTACCAATCGGCCACAAGAAAGCTATTTGTGTACGACTTACTGCACACTCAGTTCCCTTTATTTTCCAATACTCTACTCTGTTCAAGAAATTTCTGCGAACTGGTCATTCTTTGTGTTATGTTGTTATGCCCAAATAACTTAGTTCACTGCTATAGAAACGTTCGCGAAACACAATAGACGCCCAACAAACCAAAAACCCGTCGCTTGTGACCGACCTACAGTTTAACCTCTATATCTGTCAACGCGCCTTCAAATTTCTCCCCGACACACTCTTAGACAAAAATAGTTGGGACACTTTAGCCAAACGCTGTTTTTTCCCTTCTCGTGCTCACCTCGTCCCTCTCAAAGTTGTTTATCGCGGTTCGGTCACCAAACCTTGTACACCAACATTGAGGGGACAAGGAGACCCCAAAGTGTCCCAACCATTTTGACTGAGACTGTATTTTAGAGGAATTTTAGGTATGTGACTCCAAGTTGGCTCTAGTGGCGGGAAATCGCTAGGCAGGTATATGCACGTTTCGGAGCCATTTTTTCGGGAAAAAACATTAGAGATTTCACGGATAGAAAGAGAGAAGACAATCAATAGAGGAAAGAAGTCTTTGTTTCTTTAATTACAACATTCCGAAGTATTAAAAAAAGTTTTCTACGTATTGGGTTTAAAGAGTGAACAACAGTTGAGTCAAAACTGCGCGCCTTATTTCGCAGGCTTGTATCTTGCCGCTTAAATATATTATACCGGTGGAGGCACGATTAGACGGGTCACCATAACAGGTCACCATACTATCCAGGGCATTTTCTAAGACCTCTCTGGTATATACAAAGGATTAAGAAAGAAAAGGATAAGGGACTTTCACACTTAATTGAAATAGCTAAGGTTTATAGCGCCTTGATACATGTAAGACAAGTTATTAAAACTTTGATCATGGTGACACGATTGTTCGCTGAAAGAAACTTATAATATCTTAATTGAATTAATGCACGGTGACCCGTGTACACGTCGAGTATAACGCTTTTTTTGGAGGTTTTAAGGATAGGTACTGTCCTCGTTTGATATGATTCATGTTTTGGACCTCAAGTCCCACATTTATGGCACAGTAGTTTGTTTTAGAGCTCTTCAGGAAAGTGTATATTTGGGGTAAAGAATGAGAACCGATGTCACCATTTGGCGCAAGGCCAAATTAACATATGTTGTAAACAAGTTATAAAAAGTTGTCGATTTCACAGCAGTAGCCTGGAATATCATTAAGAAACTTTTTGGCGTCGGACCAAACAGTTACACTATTGTTGGACACCCTTTTTACGCGCTTGTAGTCCTGAATAGTATCTTTAGAAATTTAGAAAGCGGGATACTGTTCTCGCTGATACGTTTTGGGAATAATCCTGGCTTGTTGCATTTTCCTCCAAACTGGAGAAAAAGTTTCCCCCTTTCTCTTGACATCGCTTAATCGCTCTTTCGGCTGTCTTTCGCCTCTTGCCGTTAAGTTAGAAAGGCGTCCCTTTGAGCCTTGTTCCTATACTCTTTCTTGGCAAAGAGACCTTCTTTGTTATTTTCCACACATTTTTTTCCAGAAATGTGGCACATTCAGGCGCCTCTCCGTATACGAAAAGCCCCGAATCTTACGTAGATAGCCATGCACGTGCTATGTTGTCACGCTACCAATCGGCCACAAAGAAAGCTATTTGTGTACGACTTACTGCACACTCAGTTCCCTTTATTTTCCAATACTCTACTCTGTTCAAGAAATTTCTGCGAACTGGTCATTCTTTGTGTTATGTTGTTATGCCCAAATAACTTAGTTCACTGCTATAGAAACGTTCGCGAAACACAATAGACGCCCAACAAACCAAAAACCCGTCGCTTGTGACCGACCTACAGTTTAACCTCTATATCTGTCAACGCGCCTTCAAATTTCTCCCCGACACACTCTTAGACAAAAATAGTTGGGACACTTTAGCCAAACGCTGTTTTTTTCCTTCTCGTGCTCACCTCGTCCCTCTCAAAGTTGTTTATCGCGGTTCGGTCACCAAACCTTGTACACCAACATTGAGGGGACAAGGAGACCCCAAAGTGTCCCAACCATTTTGACTGAGACTGTATTTTAGAGGAATTTTAGGTATGTGACTCCAAGTTGGCTCTAGTGGCGGGAAATCGCTAGGCAGGTATATGCACGTTTCGGAGCCATTTTTTCGGGAAAAAAACATTAGAGATTTCACGGATAGAAAGAGAGAAGACAATCAATAGAGGAAAGAAGTCTTTGTTTCTTTAATTACAACATTCCGAAGTATTAAAAAAAGTTTTCTACGTATTGGGTTTAAAGAGTGAACAACAGTTGAGTCAAAACTGCGCGCCTTATTTCGCAGGCTTGTATCTTGCCGCTTAAATATATTATACCGGTGGAGGCACGATTAGACGGGTCACCATAACAGGTCACCATACTATCCAGGGCATTTTCTAAGACCTCTCTGGTATATACAAAGGATTAAGAAAGAAAAGGATAAGGGACTTTCACACTTAATTGAAATAGCTAAGGTTTATAGCGCCTTGATACATGTAAGACAAGTCATTAAAACTTTGATCATGGTGACACGATTGTTCGCTGAAAGAAACTTATAATATCTTAATTGAATTAATGCACGGTGACCCGTGTACACGTCGAGTATAACGCTTTTTTTGGAGGTTTTAAGGATAGGTACTGTCCTCGTTTGATATGATTCATGTTTTGGACCTCAAGTCCCACATTTATGGCACAGTAGTTTGTTTTAGAGCTCTTCAGGAAAGTGTATATTTGGGGTAAAGAATGAGAACCGATGTCACCATTTGGCGCAAGGCCAAATTAACATATGTTGTAAGCAAGTTATAAAAAGTTGTCGATTTCACAGCAGTAGCCTGGAATATCATTAAGAAACTTTTTGGCGTCGGACCAAACAGTTACACTATTGTTGGACACCCTTTTTACGCGCTGGTAGTCCTGAATAGTATCTTTAGAAATTTAGAAAGCGGGATACTGTTCTCGCTGATACGTTTTGGGAATAATCCTGGCTTGTTGCATTTTCCTCCAAACTGGAGAAAAAGTTTCCCCCTTTCTCTTGACATCGCTTAATCGCTCTTTCGGCTGTCTTTCGCCTCTTGCCGTTAAGTTAGAAAGGCGTCCCTTTGAGCCTTGTTCCTATACTCTTTCTTGGCAAAGAGACCTTCTTTGTTATTTTCCACACATTTTTCCAGAAATGTGGCACATTCGGGCGCCTCTCCGTATACGAAAAGCCCCGAATCTTACGTAGATAGCCATGCACGTGCTATGTTGTCACGCTACCAATCGGCCACAAGAAAGCTATTTGTGTACGACTTACTGCACACTCAGTTCCCTTTATTTTCCAATACTCTACTCTGTTCAAGAAATTTCTGCGAACTGGTCATTCTTTGTGTTATGTTGTTATGCCCAAATAACTTAGTTCACTGCTATAGAAACGTTCGCGAAACACAATGGACGCCCAACAAACCAAAAACCCGTCGCTTGTGACCGACCTACAGTTTAACCTCTATATCTGTCAACGCGCCTTCAAATTTCTCCCCGACACACTCTTAGACAAAAATAGTTGGGACACTTTAGCCAAACGCTGTTTTTTCCCTTCTCGTGCTCACCTCGTCCCTCTCAAAGTTGTTTATCGCGGTTCGGTCACCAAATCTTGTACACCAACATTGAGGGGACAAGGAGACCCCAAAGTGTCCCAACCATTTTGACTAAGACTGTATTTTAGAGGAATTTTAGGTATGTGACTCCAAGTTGGCTCTAGTGGCGGGAAATCGCTAGGCAGGTATATGCACGTTTCGGAGCCATTTTTTCGGGAAAAAACATTAGAGATTTCACGGATAGAAAGAGAGAAGACAATCAATAGAGGAAAGAAGTCTTTGTTTCTTTAATTACAACATTCCGAAGTATTAAAAAAAGTTTTCTACGTATTGGGTTTAAAGAGTGAACAACAGTTGAGTCAAAACTGCGCGCCTTATTTCGCAGGCTTGTATCTTGCCGCTTAAATATATTATACCGGTGGAGGCACGATTAGACGGGTCACCATAACAGGTCACCATACTATCCAGGGCATTTTCTAAGACCTCTCTGGTATATACAAAGGATTAAGAAAGAAAAGGATAAGGGACTTTCACACTTAATTGAAATAGCTAAGGTTTATAGCGCCTTGATACATGTAAGACAAGTCATTAAAACTTTGATCATGGTGACACGATTGTTCGCTGAAAGAAACTTATAATATCTTAATTGAATTAATGCACGGTGACCCGTGTACACGTCGAGTATAACGCTTTTTTTGGAGGTTTTAAGGATAGGTACTGTCCTCGTTTGATATGATTCATGTTTTGGACCTCAAGTCCCACATTTATGGCACAGTAGTTTGTTTTAGAGCTCTTCAGGAAAGTGTATATTTGGGGTAAAGAATGAGAACCGATGTCACCATTTGGCGCAAGGCCAAATTAACATATGCTGTAAGCAAGTTATAAAAAGTTGTCGATTTCACAGCAGTAGCCTGGAATATCATTAAGAAACTTTTTGGCGTCGGACCAAACAGTTACACTATTGTTGGACACCCTTTTTACGCGCTGGTAGTCCTGAATAGTATCTTTAGAAATTTAGAAAGCGGGATACTGTTCTCGCTGATACGTTTTGGGAATAATCCTGGCTTGTTGCATTTTCCTCCAAACTGGAGAAAAAGTTTCCCCCTTTCTCTTGACATCGCTTAATCGCTCTTTTCGGCTGTCTTTCGCCTCTTGCCGTTAAGTTAGAAAGGCGTCCCTTTGAGCCTTGTTCCTATACTCTTTCTTGGCAAAGAGACCTTCTTTGTTATTTTCCACACATTTTTTCCAGAAATGTGGCACATTCAGGGCGCCTCTCCGTATACGAAAAGCCCCGAATCTTACGTAGATAGCCATGCACGTGCTATGTTGTCACGCTACCAATCGGCCACAAGAAAGCTATTTGTGTACGACTTACTGCACACTCAGTTCCCTTTATTTTCCAATACTCTACTCTGTTCAAGAAATTTCTGCGAACTGGTCATTCTTTGTGTTATGTTGTTATGCCCAAATAACTTAGTTCACTGCTATAGAAACGTTCGCGAAACACAATGGACGCCCAACAAACCAAAAACCCGTCGCTTGTGACCGACCTACAGTTTAACCTCTATATCTGTCAACGCGCCTTCAAATTTCTCCCCGACACACTCTTAGACAAAAATAGTTGGGACACTTTAGCCAAACGCTGTTTTTTCCCTTCTCGTGCTCACCTCGTCCCTCTCAAAGTTGTTTATCGCGGTTCGGTCACCAAACCTTGTACACCAACATTGAGGGGACAAGGAGACCCCAAAGTGTCCCAACCATTTTGACTGAGACTGTAGCAAAATGAAAATAGACAGTGCGCCGATAACCAACTTGCGTGAAGCGGGGTTAACAAGATATGAGAGATGTGGCGAACTCGGGTCACAAAAGTGTCCTTTGTCCTTATCATCTTGTGTTCGTATTAAGCAGGTTGATTTTAGAGAAAATTTATGAGCTTTTCGTCGGGACAAACGAAAGTGTCTTTTATACGTGGGTGTCAGTTTAATCAGTTGTCCGCAGAGCCGGGTTCCATTTCATTAGGCTTATACAAATTTTATGAGCAATTTCTATTGTCTGATGTACAATGATTGGACACCATTCCTTTCCCTGTTTTTCGTTGCGGGAAAATAAACAGCTGTTTGTTCCCTCATAAAAAAACTTAGGTATATAATTTATTCAATAGCTTACCTTTTGGAAGACATTCTGGGGCTGAACCATTGTAAACACCGTCTTTGCAAGTCACGTGGCTTGAACCGTTCAAGACAAATCCTCTATTGCAGACAAACATGTAATCTATGCCAAATTCCGTATCATTTCTGAACACGATGCCATCCGTTAGCTCAGAGTTTAGTGGTACACAAGCTGTAAAGGAATAATGCGTATCAGCAACCGTCCAAGACTCCGAGTAGTTTCTTATTTTCTTTAAGATGGAATGGTTTAACACCTGTTAAACGTGAGCGACATGCAACGAAATTACTATGACGTCAGTGCAGTGATTTTAATGTAACCGGCAAATAATGATTACTCTGACTTATATTTTGTTCGAAACAGTTGTTTCAAAGTACCACGAATAGATTCAGATTTTTCAGATTTTCTATCTTTTTGCACTATTTTAAGAGGTTACTACTAAAATTACAATACATAACAAAATAAAGAAAAAAAAACAACAACAACAACAAATTACGATAACATCAAAGGTGAAGTGTGCGCACAGTGACCAAATTAGCTTAGGCTTTCGAGTTGGTCAATGCTACGTGCAACTAATGGGACCTGCGACCACGACTTCGGACCCCGACCTGCGACCATTAGTCAAACTCAACTAACTGGCGTAGCCATTTACAAACAGACCGCACGTTAGACCGCCATCAATATGCAAAAAGCGAAAAATTAATAACTAAGTCTCTTGTACTGACTTGCACATCTCTTTATCTGTAACGAACATCTGCCTGGTTTGGTATTTGACGATTGAAAGACATACCGTCTCTTGACGGTAGCATTTTTTTTCTCTCGAAAGATTTCAATCACTTATCTTATTTTCTTATGTTTCCTTTTAATTATTAATTAAGAGAGCTAGGGTAGTGCTTTGAGTTGTCCAGATACATTTTTGTTGCCAAATCGTCAAGGACTTTCTCTCCGTCAGTAAAGGCAAAAGTATTTAGTTAACTAGGCTCTTCATCAGAGACAAGTTATCAGCTCTCGTCCAAGACACCCTCACCTGTAAACAGCTCCCTTCAATTTCTGTGCAGTTCTAACACTCATCAAGATGTTAAATCATACCTAGTTCAACGGTATCATTAACGACAGCGACAAACTGTTCCACAGTTTCTTTACTTGCTTTCCCAATGGTCACCTTCTTAGTCGTGTAAATATCAAACATACACTGCAAATTGTCTCCACAAACGTCCTTGGCATCTTTTTCCAGAGATTTATTGGAAAACACCAGTGGTTGACTGTCTGCAAATATCGGCTGATAGTTTGGATGGTGATAAGTTGCATGGCTTTTGCCTTGTTCATAAGTAAACAGGGACTCAGCTGCTGTCGTCACCCCTTTAAACAAGTAGACGGGAAAAGAAATCAAGAAGAAGCCCACAAGCTGGCGACCCATCAAGTATTTAACTTTTGAGCCAAAAGGCCTTGCGAATAAACTTTTGGACTTGCAAAGAAAAAGAGGGGGTTGATTCTTCTCTCTCCACGCAAGATTTTTCCCGCACTATTTCTTAAAATGGCAGAACCGCTTTCTAATTATTGCTAAACATCTGACACAGTGAAATAATAGGTTAAGGTTAAACCGGTCCTAGGCTGAAAAGGATTATATAATTAAATTTCTATTTCTAAGTAAAAAAAGACCACACCTTATCTAAAAAAAACTTGTCATCTAAACAAGATTAAAAAACCAAAACTTGTTTTGGTTGCTAACTTACGGTACCGACCACCACTCAGTGAGTCTCTTCCTTGGTGATATTGCAGTGAATAACAAGCGCATTAAGGATATGCAGAAATTATGGGCACAAATATCCTTAAATTGAATTCGTTGTTTTAAAGAGTCAAGAGGAAATAATAATTACAAAGCTGTCCAAAGTTCCTGTGGATTTCTTTGAAGCTGGAATTCGTACTCAGAAACGTGCCATCGGGCTTAAGATATTCTAATTCTTGGCTGTCGTCCCAGTAACCAAGAAGTCCGCTTGTGTTCCCTGAAAAAAAAAAGTGTATTCCATTTTTTTACAATATATTTTAGATCAAGTCGTTTTCATGCGAATATTCGTGTAAAAGCTAAATTGTTCCTATGATTACTCTTACCTTTTTGGTCAGAGTATATCCTTTTCAGCATTAATTACTATGCGTGAACTCACAATTGTAATACTGACCCGCGACTAAGAACATGCATTTTCCCTACTTAGCCTTCTTATAAAGTAAACAGGCTTAATATTTCGGACCCTTGGATTCACATTTAACAGTACTCAAGATCTCTTTAAAGCTATTTCTGAAATCCACTCAGAGCATATGGTAAAAATGTAGCCTCTTCTCGCAGGGTAAGTGGTCAGCGTGTCGGAATCTTATTAGTTATGCCTATGCTTGCTTGTTTTAAGATTTTTTGGTCTTTTTTCTATTGCTTTCTTCCACAGTTTATATTTATCACTTATTTGAATGTTTCAGTCAATTCTGTTATCTTGTGTTTAATGCTGATATTTCCGCTTAAATAGCGTTTTCTTTATGTATAACAAAACCTAGATTTTCACAAAAGGGAATAGATACTTAGAGAATAAGGGGCTTTTCAGCCTTAATAACATTCAGCACCTTACCTTTAAACATGGTTGGTACTAACGTCACAAGACCAAGCAGTTCTGTTTGACCTTCTACAGTTACCGAGATCCCAGAATGAAAGATGGCCGAGTACTTGGATGTGTTGACGTACTGCAACACTGACACACCGTTGAATTCCCAGAGGGATAACTCGTCAAAATCAACAATTTCTCCATTCACCAAAACATCGACCAATCCACGGCCATTTAAGTGAATCTACATGCAAGGGATGGATAAATAGACTTGGGTATGACATAGAAGCGCAGGCTACTACATACTAGCTTCCCATGAAATGAAAACTAGCTAGGAGTAGCCTGAAGTTCTATTTTTTGGTAAGCAAGAACGTGCGGCTACTTTTAACTCGATTCATGCATTATATATCGAACAAATCATTGATTCAGTGTGTCCTTATTGGAATTCAGTCATTGTTAAGAAAACTGCTATTGGTCAGGTCGGAACATTTTTTTCTCGGATAAAATTATTTATAAGTACCGTGGAACCTCTATTCAGGGGACACCCTAGGGACCGAGTCAAGCGTCCCTTGAATAAAGGTGTTCCCTGAAGAGAGGTTGGGCTGAGGCAGTTAATAATTAACCAAGAAATACAACATAGCAAATCATTATTAATTTATCTCTACGAAATTATATGGTGGATTCACAAAAGTGCATTACGTCGAGAATTAGTCAGTTTTCTTTGTGAAAGCTTCTATCATTGTGATAAGTGCGCAGTTAGAAATATTGACCCTCTTTGTGGTCAGTCCGGCACTTTCTGAGTGATTAGGTGTCCCCTGAATGGAGGTTAACCCCGGGTTTCGGGACCCAGAAAAAGTGTGCCTTTCCCCTGAATAGAGGCGTCCCTTCACTAGAGAGAATAGATACAAAGATTATGTGAACATTTTTCCGGGACCAAATTTTGTGTCCCCTGAATGGAGGTGACCCTTGAATAGAGGTGTCCCAAAGGAGGGGTTCCACTGTAGGTGAAATAGAATCATTATGGTCAATAATAATGAGTGTCGTCCTGAATAGGACAGTTGGTGACAGTGAGTGCATAACAACCTTTGTGCGTGTGGTAGTAATCTTTAGAGCCAAAGTGAGTTGTATTACGAGTATGGTAAAAAGCTCTGGTAAATTATTTGTCTGGTTGGTCAAGTAAGTCGCGATGTTATTGGTCGCCTGTCAGTTAAGCCGTGGTGTTATTGGCTATGCGGTCTCCAAACGTGATTGGTTTCTTTTCGATCCGATCAGTCTTTTGACTCAATTATAACGGTCGTTTTTTTGTTGGTCGAATCGTCGGTTGCATTTTGTCCAGTCATTCCATGGTTGTCAGTTTTTGTGTAAAACTAAACTTGATCACTCCTGGTACAAAATTAAAGTCTGCCTTCGGACTGGTAGTACAGAATTTTAAAACCGATTGACCGATGGTCAAAACTTTGTCTTCGCAAACAGGCGGAAAAAGACAAAATTACATTTTGAAGGAAAACGCCTTCTAGATTTACTCCAATATCCTTGAAGTGTCGTGATTCTCGGACTATTTAATCTCTAACCTGTACTGTATCTGATCCAGATTCCTTGGCTGCAAACGCCGTATATACAGTAGCATCTGTTTGAGACCCATCGTTATTAACCAGAGGCTCCATCCGCCCCTGTAGTGTAAAGTTCACACCTCTAACCTTTAAAATGGAGTATTCACCGTGGCCATTAAAAGTGAAGGGAGTTCCATCTAGCGTCACCATGTGAGGGTCACCAAATCCAGTAGCTAACAGTGAATAAAAACAGAAGTTATCAAGCATTTGAAATATGTCATTTTCACAGTGATCTTATCAACTAAGATTTAAGGGGTTTTTCTATTTTTTTTCTTTTGTTGATTTTGATTTGGGAAGGAAATAAATTAGGGTAGAAAAAGTATACAAATAAACCAGTTAGTCCGCTAATGGGATCAGAGGCACCTTGTTGTGATGGTGGACTATGCGGTAATTGTCTACTAATTATTCACTTCATATTTTTGTTTTACCTTCAATTAAAAAAAAACCCAATCCAATATTTTCTAATTTTCCAAAAATTCATACATCTCCCGTTAGTTTTTAAACATTAAAAATATTCGAAAAATCATTAATCCAAAAATTCTCATCCAAATTATTAAACCATAGGTAGTAGAGGAGACTGGTTGGGAAAGCCGGCGAACATCAAAGTCGAAAACAACAGGGCTGTAGTTTATGTTGGAAGCTCTCTGACCGTGCACAATTTTTTGTTTTTTGTTCACAAATTTAGGCTGAATAAATTAATGCAATGTTTCTATTGGTCAGTAAGTTCAAAATGATAGAAATGCTATTGAACATTGTGCACGGTCAGGTCCAAAAAAGATAACAAAAACATATAACAAAGGAGTCTAACGGGTTTCATAACCATTCCACTTTAATAACTATGATTAAACCAAGGACTCCAAACCAATTGTCATGAGTCATTTTTGATTGAGTGAAATCTTTGCTATATAATTAAGAAAAAAGGCAGAAATCAACGAAAAACAATGATTTCATGGTATTAAGAAATTATCACTTTTTGCCTAACGGATCAGAGTGATCTCTGAATGCCAAGTCATAAATCTAACAGTGAGCGAGAGTGGTTTGGTCTTTTTTATTGGTAGTCTGAACGGTTTTTCTGTGTACTTTGTATCTGTATCACATAAAAAAATTCCGAAATAACTGCAGAATACCCGGCCATTTTGAACAATTGCGTGATGACGTCATTCTTCTACAACTACCTGAATCCTTTAGTCTGTTGTTTTCTTGTGCAAATAAGGGCTATTGTTTTTTAAACCTAAGCAGGATTGACAAAATTAAATAAGAAAGCAAAAACGAAATGAATTCTGGACGTTGTAGAAAAATGACATCATCGAGAAAGTGGCCTTTTTGGGTGATTTATTGAGCGTCTGCCATGTTGGTCACTAAACAATAAAACGCCGACCATGTTGGTGTTCCAAACCAATCATTTGGCATTTTAACCTTTTTCTAACATTACTCTTGTCTTGACTTGTGGATTGGTGAGAATAAGTGAAGTAACTGTTTTGAGCTAGATTACTTACCAGGCCTTGGAGCTTGGTACTGTGATCCGTCATCTGATGGCCGCTTCTCAAAATATTTGTCGCAGCTATCCGACAACCGACAACAGTCCTGGTATGGCACTAAGTCGTGGAAGAAGTGCGATAGCACAGGCAGACCAGCATTCGGATGAACTCGATCAAGAGAACCTGCGTTGGGTTTGCCCATCATTAAGTTGCCAAAGTTGTTATAGCAACACTGCTGACCAGCCCCTTTGGAGCTATGGAGAAAAGTCGTAAAGACAGAATTTACCTACAGAATTTTACTACAAGTGATAACTCTTTTCCTAACTCTTTTTCCTAATTTTTTTCGGCTATTTTTTAAATTAATTTTTGAAAAAATAATTAAAAAAAAAAAAAAAAAAAAACGGCCAAAAAAGGGACTGTTAGAGGGTTAGCCAAAACTGCGCCAGAGGTTACAATTTTAACCCTTGCTTAAGTTTGCGCTCATCGGAGCAACTGAGCTAACAAACTTTATCTATTCTCCCATCATTTCATCTTGATTTGAAAAGGCATGCGAGGTAACTATATTGAACAATGCAATACAAAGTGACCTTTTTGCCTCTTTTTACTTGCTGAGGCCGGTGATAGCTGTAGTAATACCCTGCGATAAGAAGTTTCTTTGTGGCATGGCTTTTAGCATTTACCGAGTCTTTCACGTTGCTATCAGTCGCGAAATTAATTGGAGAACGACTACGTATTGGTGCTAAAAGCCATGCCAGAAAGAAACCTTTACTCGTAGAGCTGTAGTAACAAGTGCTAAAGCAAACTTTCAAAATAGTGACTGTAATAACAAGTTCGTTATTGATTTCTAGAAAGTTGGTCTCTCTAAGTGAGGTTACCTGGGTCTAACCATTTTAAAGCACTGAACGGCGCCCTCGTGGAAGCGAGAACAGCCCTCTCGATTGGACGGATTACACTCTTCATCAGACATGAAACGCCCGCGATCAGCCATGGCCTGGGTTAAGCTTCTTGGGCAGGGTTCCATGCTGGGATCAGCTATAAAGGCAAAAAAAATGACTTAATGACTTTTTTATATACAGTCTAGGCCCCCGGAAGGTTCCACCCAAGAGGCCAGGTACTGGTCGCTTACGAGAGGGGGTCGCCTGGTACAGTCGAAACCTTGAAACACAGGGGTTTCTTCCCGGGATAGCTCGGTCACCAGCTCTGTCTCTGACACCTGATCTACGCATTCAAAGACTCAGTAAATTTTACAGAATAAAATACGAGCAGCACCTCATTGCGTACGTTACATGCGGCGAACATAGCTGGGATTATTGACTGAAAATAGTTCGGTATTTTGGACAAGTAGTCGCTTATGGCAGGTGGTCGCACATGGATCGCAGTTACCAACAGGAAGAACATATTACTAAGAAAAACAACGTAAAACAAATCTTACCCACAATTAAGTACATACGAGGCGAACACGGTCGTTAATAAAACAAAATAGAATAAAAATAAATAAAAATAGAAAACACGCAGGACATAGATTTATACCGACCCAGAACATCAAATAAACAAAAATCAATTAGCCGCACACTGGCATCTAGCTAAAACTACCTCTGAAGTCTTCTGGATTGGGTTCTCGCTCATACCAAACTTTGCACCTCCTGATGGCCCATGGGGCATTTTTCCAGGCAAACAAATCACTCCACACCCACTGGGCCCGAGAAACGCTGCTTCCACCACTCTGTTTCCTTGATACCCGAACAAGGTTTACATAACGATCGTCGATGTTGCTGAAACATAAAAAGGAATCTGAAATCTGGAACCCGCAGACTCTCGACTGTCTGTTGGCACAACCTAAATTACTTTTAACCAAAACGCTCAATTTCTGGCTTTAAAGAGGCGATATGTTTTATTTATCATGGGCCAAAGTGCAAAACGAAGGCGCCTGATCTTGATGAATCTCAGTCTAGTCATGCAGTAATGATATTTTTTCAAGAAATCTTAGACAGTTATTTCCTAAAGCCGTCGGAAATTACAGCGGGAAAATGTATTCTAGACAAAACCACTGAAGAAAAATAAACATCCACAACAAAAAGGATCGAACCCTTGCTCTTGCTATTACTCTCTTGCAAAGTTCGGCCAGGCGTTATACCCAGTTTCGATATGGATTCCTAGCAAAAAGAATAATTGCTTGGGATATGCCTCTAGTCATAATAAAACTGATGATTCTAGGGCACGTTAACGAATAAAACTGTTGGAATTGGGGCCTCGAAACGAATTGTAAGAGCATCCGCGCACAAATTGCAGCTCTTCATCCATAGGTGCACATGTATCTGGAATTAAAGAAGTAGCCACGAAGAGCATGCATTTTAGGGGAAAAAGAACTGTGTCAAACGGTAACAGAAGGTGGAAAAAAATTATCTTAAGGTTATTTTCAAGGGCCTATAGTGCGTTTTGGCATGTAAATAATATTTGTTTTTCCCCTTCATATACAAGAGATAAAAGAAAAAAAACTATCCGCTGGATTTTTGTCATACAATGTTCGTCTTTTCTGGAAATAATTAACTGGATTCCTATGCTATAGAAGAAACTTTTGCTATTTCATGGAAGATAATTAGCTATGTCTTGTAACACAGAATAAATTACAGGTTAACAAACAAGTTTTGGAGATTTTGTCAGAAAATAGGGCTTATACGCCCGTATTTCAGAGGGATGTGTGATTGCCTTGGTAACTACTGTTTTGAGGTTAAACGCATCAGTTAAAATTGGATTTTAACAAGTCACTTTTTTCTCATTTTTTAGACATCTTATTACAAGTAAAAAACACGTTTGTGCAAATGTCAGACTGCTAAAGAAAAGGCCCAGTTCGGAAAGAAAGAAAAAAAAAACAGCAGTTGCGTAAAAAGCTCCCAAAGACGAATCGATGGTATTTCGTTTTATAATTTCAATGAGACCACGATGGAAATTCCAGTTTAAATGAGTTTCCGGAACTTTCAAGAATTCATAGAGGCCTGAAACACCGCACTGTGAACTTTTTCTTGACTTACCCGTCTCCCTGTCCTTTTGTGACGACAAACTGACCTTGGCCTGTATTCAACTGGGAGTTCACTACTGTGTGGAAACTTTCCAGTTCTGGAACTTCATCGTGGCCCATTTTATAACGCGCCAGATCGATCGATACTTGTTCGCTAGTGTCTCCGATGCTTTCGGAATCCCAGATGATATCAACTAACGAACCCTCTTCCCATTCATCTGCGTTCTGTCGTTGTACATCCGGTGTGTATCGATCCATGGGGACTAAATCAAGGGAAAGATAGCACGGCGGAAGATCATAGTGTAACTGGTATCATAAAATACTGATTAACGGGAAAACCCCAATCATTTATAGTAATAATAATAATAACAATAAAACGCAAATGCCTGATTATTGATGTTACTTGTCTGTTTTGACATTCAAGTGAAAGACAAAGAGAATGAGAAAATTGAGAACTGCAAAGACCTGAAGCGGGAGTTGAAACGGATCTGGAAATTGCGCAAAGTAACTGTGGTGCCAATCATAATTGGTCCATTAGGAACTGTCTCGAACGATATAAAAAAGTGATTAACAGAGATTGGTGTCACATGTCGTTTGGAATCATTTGAATCACCCAGAAAAGTTAACCCTAATAAGGGAAGATCTTTACATTGGGCGTACCACAAATGGGTGCATACTCCTCATTATTGTTTTTCCTTCTAATCCATCACAGGTAGTACGCCTGTGTCATTTGCTCGATGGAATTTTTGTTGTTCTTGAGATTAGAAATAAGAAACAAACTGATTTGACGGGCCAATGCAATCCAGCCGGATCATGTTATCCGTTCCTTAGTCTGACTATTGGTGACAAAATTGTTGTGAAGAATGATTAACCAGTGAATAATTAAGAAGCAATCAGTGGATTGCTTATGTAGTACTACGGATACTCAACTTTTTCTGAAGATATCCTGCGCTAATGACGTCCTTTCACCGAATACGGCAAACGTCTTCCAAATTTGGTCAATATTAGCTTCTTATGCAGAATTAGTAAGTGGATTTGAGCCAATCACAAACTGAGGATTATTTGAATGAATGAAGGAATAATAATAATAATTATAATAATTGATATTACTTTGCTTAAAGTATAAGATATGAGAGGAAAATACCTGATGTGTAAACTCCATTGTGTTGAAAAGAATTTCCACCATCGACTGACAATTTAATCGGTACTCTTCCTGTTCTGTCAAGAACAGGCACGGTAACGGAAGACTGAATTTCCGTTCCGAACGTGCCGTTTATGTTAATGTTGTTGTCGAACTGGACAACTATGTTATCTTCCTGCTTGAAACAAGGTCCACTCATTTTCAAGCTCGTACCGCCCAGCATTATCCCAGATCGAGGGGAGATAGTTAAAGAACCTGATGATTAATTAATAGATTGTTATTAGTGACAAAAAGAATTTTGATAGAGATTCTTAGTGTAGGGGACACAGCCGACACTCGAGCTGGCTTGAGGTTTGTAGTCTGCACCACAAGAAACTAAGGCCCAGTTCAGACGTCGTGCTTCTGCCGTGCCGAACTAAATTCAGGAATTAAGTTCGACAAAAGCACGGCAGAAGCACGACGTCTGAATCAAACTTTTGAATTAAGTTTGGCAAGCAATTAAGTTCGACAAGCGCTGCCGTGCTACACGGTTCTGGCACGGCAGCCATTCAAACCTCGTGCTTCTGCCGCGCTAAACAAAATTCATAAATTATATTAATGTATTTTGGCGAGATTGCGTTCCCACGGGGAGTTGGGAGAAGAATTGTTACGAGGTATCAGTAAATCCTGAATTTGGCTCGACTCTTGCACGACGTCTGAATCAAAGTTGTTTTCCTGCCGTGCTACAGTCGAACCAAATTACAATTAAGTTCGGCACGGCAGAAGCACGACGTCTGAACTGGGCCTGATAAACCCTGGTTTAGTCTAGCCTGTTCACAGACGCTTTATTTTTCTCTTTAGAGATCGTCGAGCGCGTGTATGAGAAAAAAACCAACGGGGAATTTATTGATCGCTTGCGCTGGAGAGTGGGCTCCGCGTTCGCTCTTACGCGCTCACTTTGCTCGTCTGCTCGTCGATTTTCGAAAGGAAAGAGGAAACAACGTCTGTGTACAGGCCAAGTCTGCCAAACAACGCCGAAAATCTAGTTTTGAGACCCCACCTGTGTTCCCGGATTTGAGTACGCGCCTTGATTGGCCTCAGGTTAAAAAGGTCATTGTCCATTTGCTAATCACGTTCAATTTGTTAGTCCGTTGGGGGCCCATAACAAGGATCTCAGCGCTGCTTCGCAGACGTTTCTAATCAGGGCTAAATTACGTCTGCGACGCAGGCTAGAGGTTTGAGGAGAGTTCTTCTTATTGATACCAACATATGCATTAGTGTAAAGCAGCTGCTCTAATAAGAAGATGATTTAATAAATACAAAGGCAATCCGTTCACTTCTATTTTTACCTTATTACCCTGTTCTTGAAGAACATCAGGAGTAGGAGAAATTTCAGTAGATGGGCTTTGCGGGTATATATAAAAAAGTGAGGGAAAGTCAATAGAATGTGTTAAAATAGAAGTATACCTTTAGTATTACATCCTCCGGCTTCAACACTGGCCTCATCAGTTCGGAACATCCACTGTCCTGGAACAGCTACATTGGAGGTGGATGGAAGATTAACAATGTCTCCGGTTCTTGAGCCATTAATCTGGAAGAATCTGATCCCATCTCCAGCGTTGAAACCGGCCTATAACGCAAACATTCAAAGCCTTATCCGCGTTTGAATCTCTAAAGATCAAACTGACTATATCTGTTCCGGCACAAGCATGTAGGGAGAGTTGGTGAAGCAAGACTAGTAAATCTTTAACGCCAATGGCACCATCGATGAAGATCGTGTATAGAGTAGGTGTAGGGAAACTATTACAGAATTAATTTGCTGGGAGAGCGCAGTCCTCAGTAGCTGGGGATTTCGTGAGGATAGCTCGTGCGAAACGAGCCAAGCTGCGCTTGGGAAAGAAGAAAAAGGCAAGCGCTTGTTAGCGCGCACTACCCAACAAAACCGTCAGCTACACAGGCTGTAATTTAGAAAGTTATCGATCGTAAATAAACATGAATATAGCATAATTAACAACACATTGAAAGCAGCCCCTTATCAGGTCAGATTTACACTAGTCTCGATCTAACGTCTGCGGTTATGTCTGCTCATAGCGTTCATATGACCTTTCGAGAAGCTAACAGAATCCTCAAAAGCATTATATCTGGACAATTTGAACATTTTCTACTGAATTCACAGATTTTCGGCGGAGGATATAGCAGCCTTCTTCCTTCTACTACGTTTCTTTCCCAGCTTTCCCCGCTCGTACTCTGGCCCGTTCCCATCATTCGTCACGCACTCTTCTCGCTCATTTTCGGCTGCCTGCAGCTGGTCGTCCTTGCTTCCTGCTTGGCAGCCTTAAATAAGCCCACGGAAGAGGCAGTTATTTCACACGGGCTAGAAATTTTGTCATGTCTGCCTGGTGTGCTGTTCTTAATTTGGTGACTGCTTACTTTGCATTTTGCTGAAGCTATTTTGGTCAAATTGAAAATTTTCTAGGGGCGAAAGTCTTTTCTAACTGATAATTTATTTGGTGTGTCCTTGTAATTTAGGATACTGAAATTTAAAAATCAGTCTGAGGTGAAATAGCTAGTTTTTCTTCTAGGCCTTGTTAATTTGTTCACCTGAGCAGGCGTGCCACCCAAACCTTGGCTATTTCCTCCACTGGCTGTTCCTGTTGTCCACATAATCCGATTGTAATTGAATATTACAAAGGAATGGCGTCCATTGGTGACCAATATAGCTTGAAAGGTGTTCACCTAAAGCATAAAACAAAATATTGCATTTTTAGTGTACTGATCGTACCATCCGCACTGATCAAGAAACGGTCTTTCTTGCCTTTGTGATCCTTGAGTAGTTTTGAAAGCTCCTACGATAAACAGTGAAATCTATAAATTTGTTGAATCGAGGAAAATTTAAGACCGAAAATTACTCACTCAGATAAGACCTGAAGCAGCGCACGCCTCATTTATCTCTAATCCATACCTTGTTCTGCATAAGCCCGCTTGCTCCGTAAAATGCGACTCTGTCCCAGGTAGCTATAAAAATCCACGTTGCCGTGAATTTTTGATGACGTACGAAAGCGCGTCGAATGTCTTTAGTTGCTCTCTGTAACAAGGCAGTATCTGTACTTTCTCTGTAAGACACAACACCTCCATTTCTTGTGTCCACATCGCCCCAGAAAGGGGAGATGAGGCGCCGTTGATCACCAAGTGGGAAGGGATCAGGAGTGAATTGACTTACTGCCACTAAGAATGACACGACTCCATTTGTGTTTACCTTAATAGACAACAAAGATCAAGACAGATGAAGTTCAGTCACAAAGCAAGAATCAATACAAAAAGTGTCAATAGATGGAGGAAATAAACAGTAAAACAGTGAATGTGAACAACAGAAAAATTGCCACCAAGAACCTGTCTTTCTCAACAAAAAGGATCTTCATGGGAGAAAAAAAAATCAAGTATTCTTTGAAATTTATTAGCTAGCTAATTGCTATCATAGCTTCCTGAGGTTCCTAATATATAGGAAAATTGTTTTAGGCCTTTTGTTTTTCGGTCATAATCATTCGAAGTTGCTAGCTTGCATGCAAAAATAGAGACGGAGACGCGTGAATGTTTATATAAAAATGAACTGGAGTGGAAAGCTTGAGTGAGATGATTTGAACAGTCAAATTTCTTCCTAGATACGGATAAGTAAATATACTTAGAAATAATCCGGGTATATTGATTCATAGCTAAAAGTGTCGTAAAATTCCACGAGGTTGGGCAAATGACCTTTCAGGAAGAAACTCACGTTCCCTAAAAATTGTCTTAGCATGACCGGTCAACTTCAAATATAAGTAATCTTTTATTTCCTTTGAAACCCAACCCATTGTTCCAGTTCCGGGTTCGTTTGACCACGATCGATGCTATTTTTATCCATATTACAAAATCGTGCATTTAAAGGCACGATAAACTTTTGATGTCCATCCTGTCAAAATAATTGAGTTTTAAAGGCTTTGGCTGCACAGTAGACATGTCTCAAAAACACGACAGCATTTCTAATCAGGCAAATGTTAACGATGAGCAGTAGAACGGAGAAAAAAGGTCCTAATTTTCAAGTTAATCCAGCTACGTGTGCAGCGCCTTGCTGCTCTCTAAGCAGAACGTGTTGAAACCAATTCAGTTCTCGATTTATTGCGGGCAGATCATATTCAAGAATGAAGACTAAAGTTAGCGCAAAATGTCGTTGTCTAAGAATTCAGGATACAACCAGAAAATACTAGAGCCATAGCCACAACCATTCAGACCCTACACGAAGCAAGATCGGCCGTCGCTAAGAAGGCTAGCCCTACGGCATTTATCTAGGACGGGTCTGGAAGCCCCTCCACCTCCCTCGTTCCCCCTTATTATTTTTGTATTTTAGTTCAAAATGGTGACAAGCGGGCAAGCGCCACATCTAGTCAAACATCTTGGTTGCTACAGCTTTTGGTTATCTTTTGTCTCTTCCTATAATTAGAGAAAACGAAAAACAAAAACAAAAAAACAAAAAAAAAAGAAAAAGGGAAAAGGAAATCTAGAAGTCACATATCACTTAATTAACAAGAACGCGCTTACAGCGGCATTCAGTCTACCCTGGCTCCAGACATGTCCAGAGGTCCGAACCATCAGTATCGATAAGAAAAAAATTTCCTCTGCAACCCAGGGTACATTCAGTCTCGCCTGCTTGGAGATTAAATCCAGAAATGAGCAGGCCATTGATTCTAAAAGAAACATGATTTACTGGCTAAAGGTTTTTTACTTCCTACTTTATCAACGTCGACACTTTTTATTTGTTTCTGAATTGATTTAGTACGCGTGTTAGCGACGACAAGAAAAAACTCTCCGGTCGCAGGCTGAAGCGTGAATCTAATACACGAAAATTCAAGGGCCTCGTTTCCAGAGAAAATTACATCACTACCAGAGACCATAAAAGTGATTTACATGGCACATCATTTCAATCATCGCCGGAATAAATCGCATCCTCATCACAAGACCATTTGCATACAATGAAAGCTTACAACACCCGACCATCGCAATTTTGTTAATTAAGATTCTTTTTTTTCCGACCACTCAGTAGTGTTCACTTGTTTCAAAGCAATCAACGCTTTCAAGTGATAGAATTCGTGGACCGACACGTTTCGGAAAAGTTCTAAATTTAATCTTTCCTAAGCTTTCTTCGCAAAACATGCGTGGCTTTGATCACGCAACCATTCTTATCCCGGTTTCCAACGTCTCCTCGAGGAACGCCTAGCACAATGACCCCCGATTTGCCTGCGTCGCAGACGCTCTAAACCTTCTGTATAGACGAGTGCGTAGCCAGCTGCAACTCATGCAGGCTACACCTGATTTGTGTCCTAAATACGACGAAAAAGCCCGGGGGCGGGGGAGAATACTTCCAGAAAAATTGAATGTGGATGTGCGGCACGTTTCGTGAAACCCTTACCGTATTTCAGACCAAAATCTGTGATTTTTCCTATCCTTTTTCAGACATTACCAAAAATTTGATACCTTTTGAGACCTAAAGCCCTCAAGCCCGGCTCGTGACCGGAGCGCGTGACAAGCTGTTACGGCACGTACACGGTAGTTGGTGTAAACATTAAAAGGGAAATGGTCTTATCGCCAAATGACGAGGAAGTAGCTAATTCTTCTAAAACACATACCCAATTCAAGACTAGAGTGCACAAACGATACCCTATTTCAGACCAAAACTACCAAAAAACCATACCCTTTGGCGCGGCACATACCTATATAGCCCATAAAGGGGACTACCCTCACGGGGCGAAAAACGCTCACGCAAGCGAGACTAACAAGGAAGGCGTTATGGCTATGAGTTCCCCTTGTAAAATTACTCTCTTCATTTTCTTGTAAGCCCGGTAGATACCGGACGGGTGTACTTACGTAAAGGGAACCATGGTTGCGGTCGAAATATGGGAAGAGGATAGAAACGGGTATTTGTCCAGATCCTCCATCATCGTTGGGGAGAAGTGCGGTGTCGCCGTTCCTTACACCATAAGGATAAAACTGGCGCAAGGGAAGTGAAAAACATGTAGTTATAAACTGGGCAAAAACGAGAAACACTTTAACCTGCCGCAAAAACATCGTGTGTTATTTAGTCGAATGCTGTTCGATATCTGTCTATCAGGATATGTTACTTACCTCTCTGTATTTAAATGAGAGCACAGAGCCTTGGAGTCAATCAAGTCTAAAGTGTAGTGTTTTTATAAGCTGATTAAGACCCATAAGCCATTTTCTGTCTTAGCATCCCATCCGTTGTAGCACTGTATAAAGCCATAGTACTACAAAACGGAAACAATTTATCAGAGGTACATATAATGACTTATCATCATTGAGTAATTTATGCAGACAAATGATTTTTTTCCATTTCTGTTCTGATCCTTTAAAAGCACAACATTAACCATGCACTTTTTCCTTGGACTTACTCGTTCCTTTTTCCTTAAAGTACATTTTGAAGTAATAACCCTTGCACTCAATCTTTTCCTTAATCAGGTGACCTGTAGGTTATTTCCTTGAACTTGATATTACCTTGGGTATTTAATTGTTAAAACGTGCTCGTTCGTGCTTTAGAGATTAAGAAAGAACACGTCAACGGCATCAAAAACGTTTCTATAATAGTGATTTCCCGTTATTTTCAAAGTCCTTTTTCCCTATTATTCAAACCCGTTCAATTTTTAAAATCTGGCCGAATTCTCCTAACATTGAATTATTAAGCGAATCCAATTTTAGAGAGAGCCGAACAACTGGACGTCTAGCTTATGTTAACGTGCTTCGTAAAACGTCACACTTCCAGCTTTAGCTTAACCTCGTAGTCGTGCCGAAGCGGCAAAGAAATGATCTCCAGACGGTGCGACGCATGTGAAAAATGATGATTACTATTACTTCTGTTATATTTTACTTTTCCCTTAAATTCTTTTTTTAATTAACTCTAAATTTCCTACCTATCTATAGGGTGGCCCATGGCCCATAGGAAAAGATATGCAATACACTCCTTTTTTTTTATAAGAATATATTTTATAAGAATATCGAGGCTGAAATTTGCGAAATTTTAAGAATATTTTAAGAATAAAGCCAAGGCTGAGATTTTGAAAAGGGTAGATATAATTTTGTGCGTTGAAACATCTGTAAATACAATACAATTTTATGTTTTTAACTTAACCGTATAAAATTATTCCTTTCTCTGAACGGCGAAACTAGCCACGAAAACGAAAAAACCTGCACTAGCTATAGCAAAATGTTCAACGCTAATGACAGTTCGATGAACCGTACATGTATTACATATACATATACCCCTATAAATTCTAAAACGGAAATGTCATAAGCCATAATTTAAGAATAATACAAGAATATTCTCAGCCTAAAATCGGCAGAAAAATAAGAATATTCAGCCTGGGCCGGAAAAACAACATTCTTATAAGAATGTAAACAATAATTTTGTACAGTCGAACCTCTCGGTACGGACACCTGTCTATTTCGGACAGTTTCCAATGTCCCGACAAAATTCTCATAGATTTGCTTTAAAAAAAACCCTTTATAATGCGGACTCTCTCTAATACGGATAACGGACACTAAATCTCGGCCCCAGAGAGTAAATTCATATAGACTTAACCTATTCAGGTTATTACGGGCTCTGCGGTGATCAGATGATTCCCGAATCCCAACCAGGTGAATCTGCACAGGGTGAATCCCGTCTGGCTGATGAGCTATGCAAGGTGATTTCAAAAGCTCAGTCGCTGTATATCAAACAACGATTTGCGAAAGGTGCAACAGAGGAACACAACTACCTTTTTTAGTTGAATAACTACAGATAGCATAGAAATCTTTTCAATTACATTTTGTACTCTAGTTACTGATTACTGCAATTACAGAATAGCGAACGACGCTTTCAGAATTGTGGTTTACGTTACAGGCCTTTTACATGCAGCGTTGCGCTGTAACTCGTTTCGTTTTAAAACAGTGATTTGTCTACGACTGTACATGCGTAGCTGATATGTACAATAGGGAGTTTAAGATACGGAGACTACGGACTACGAACTACGGCTGGACGAGCGTTGTCCTTTGTTTGTAGCACTGGGCTGAGTCGTGCAAATATAGAACGTTAAGATTGCACTACAGACAGTAGACTACGAGAGAAGAGGCGGAGAAGGAAACAACACGCACAGATTTTCTTGTTTTCATCACAGTTCACAAAAATGCAAGTCAGTTTTGCATGTGATCTTATCTTTAGCACAATCAGCAAATTCTTCCGTACTTGAAGGAAACAATTACGTCGGGTGAAAATTCAGAGTGAGCAAAGTTTTGGTTACACAGGTTTTATTTTTTTCGCCCATGAATACTTATGTCAAATATTAAAGAAATAGACAGAAATAGTACTAGTTCATTTATTAGATTTAGGAGATGGACTTCTCCGACAACTGATCTGATGTAGTTTGAAGTATAGACTGCAAAACAGTCGGTTTTTTTCTCAAAGTCAGTAAAGAAATCGGTAAAGCGTGGCGTAAGAGTCTTACGCGCGCCAAGCGGGTGAGCCTCACACGCCCGTAAAAAAAACCGACTGTCCGTTTTCCATACAATGAGTTCGTTCCGACCAGGGGGTTCAAAAATGTCGTCGAGCTGTCAAAAATCTGTTCGCAACTCCGCCCTCTTTGTGAATTTGATAGACTCGGGTGTTATTATTGACGCTGCAATCCAGTAATTCTAAAGCAGTTTTTAGCGTTGCTTCCCTGTGAAATGTAGTGTATATAGTGAAATGTAGAATATATAGTGGAGGATCAAAAAAGAGTGAAAGTGGCAGTACGACAACAAAGCCTCTGCCTGCTCCTCGAAGAGGGAGAAAGCCGAAAGAGCCGAGGGCTTTGGAAAAATTGTAGAATGTGCGGCTGTTGTACTAGACTGTTCACAGTCCTCTATTTTCCCGTAAGATCGTCGAGATCGAGCACTTTGCGTTTCGGGCTGCATCTTGCGTGAGTGTCAAAACTACTTAGGGGGTAGGGGGCGGTTTGGGAGGAAGCGAGAAAAATAGAGGGACTGTAATAACATCACTGCAGCTCGCGTTCAGGAGGCGTGACAGGAATTTCACGCCTTTTACCATTCATTAATTAAGAAACTCCGCTGGCGATGAAAAACATGCCAGACACATTTAGCATCGATTACGTGTGTTTACAAATATCTCCTTTCGAAACAGTGATTTTATAATGTTTCTAGGCCATTCCTACAAATAATATCGGCAAAGAGGCACGAAAGAAACATTTTCCTAATCGAATCACTAAGCATGCTCGCTTGACCATAGACTAAAACGGTTAAAACGTTCCGATAAAAAGCCAGGCATTTCTGACAGGTCATCTTTTTTGCGTCGGCGTTGCGTTAAATTTCATTTCGTTTGGCAGAAACTGTGTTACAACATTCCCGCGGCCGGGCTGCTTCCAAAGCATGTTGGCTTACGTGATTCATCCGCAAAATACCAAAAATCGTTCGTGTGTTTGCGCAAGGTGTACCTTATGGTATGAAAGCGTGCATTTTACAGAAACGACGACTTGTCAACGACTTGTCAGTGTCTGCAACTTAAACTAAACCCGTTGTCAACGCAAATTAACATCTATTGTCTAATGACCAATCAAACGCCTGCGTTGCTGGTACAACGCGCTCCGTGAACACAAACTGCAGTTATGTTATTACAGTCCCTCTATTTTTCTCGCCCACCTCCCCCTAGAGCTATAATCCCCCACGCCCGCCCCCTCGGTACATTTGAAAATCAAGATGGCCGTCATTAACGGTAAGACGTGCTATATCTCAACGATCTCACGAAAAAATAGGGGACTGTGAACAGTCTACTGTTGTACACAGTTCGGCAATTTTACGAATGGATGGATCCCGGGGGGGGGGGACTCCCATATGAAACAGACGGGGATGCTCGTCGGAAATTTTGAATTTAACCCCTAAAGGAGACCATCTGGGCGTGGCTCGAGCTTTTGTGACCCCTAAAGGAGACCAATCTGGGCGTGACTCAAGCAAATTTTGACCCCTAAAAGAGACTTCTTAAAAACACACAAATACGACATGCAATGAGTTTTAATGATACAAAGACATAACAAACAAAGTTAAAAAGAAAATTTGACTTCTGTTTCTCTTCGCGTTCTGTGTTTCTTCGCAGAACCCTAAACGAGACCTTTGCGGCTTAAAATATTGGCGCTTTGCCCGGAACACCCTAAGCGAGACCAAAATCCAAAATTTACACCCCTAAGCGAGACGACGAGCATCCCCGTCTTTTTCATATGGGAGTCCCCCCCCCCCCCGGGGGATGGATAAGCTCGGAAAAAGCGTTTGTTGCGCCTACCAGAAAAAGGGAAACGTTACCAAAGTGAACCGACCTACTGGAAAACGAACTTTTCGTTGTCCTCGAGGAAGGAGAATCTTTCTCCACAAGAGCAGTTTGCTCTCCGTGCGGAACAACGGTTAGAAATTGCCCAGGGAAACTGCACGGCGACGCTTTCGCAAATTAGAGAAGAACTGAACACGCCAACTGACAATGAACAATTATTGCGATTGAAAAGAATGAGTAAATCCCCACATTCCAAACCACGTTGTGGTGATTTAGCTCTGTAAATTACTCTCTGTGAGAATTTAAAATCCTGCCAAAAACGCTAACGAGCTGGGTCCAGCGTGACAAAACATTGCAGGAAAAAGTCACATTCACGGACACAAAGAAAATCGCTTAAAATTATTCAAATCCAGGAGGCACTTTGGAGAAATAAAACAACCTAAAACCCTTAATCAGCCGCAATGAAGAGCTTCACATTTCTAAAGGGGCCAAGAAAGAAAATGCTCTTGCGTTAGAGGGCAAATCATGCCTACCAGAGAAAATCAATATGCGTGTCACGACCTCTCAGTATGAAATATATTTAATAGGCGGTCAAAATTCACATTTGCTCAGTCAAAACGTTTTCCTCCAAAGCATAATCTACTCGACGGAGAAAACAATTCATTGGAACAAGCGGCATGTTTGCATGAGGTAAAAGTCGTGTGTTTCCTACCGATCGCTTTTTTAGCCAGGCGAGATAATGGAGATAACAATGACGGTCGGCCGT